CACTTCCTCAAGTAAGTTTAATAGTCAGTACAAACTCACCCAGATGTATCATGGTCGATCTACTCCTGCGTATTTTTGTGCCCCTGTTACAAATTTCGCCTGCTGCTCGCTTTTGTTATTCACTTTTCAGATTTACTTAACCAGTCCTGCATTCAAATGGAATCCTACAAATCGCATTCGTCAGTGGGAAATATTGGCACCGAAACCTGATGACGAACGCGCACACCCCAAGGTCATGAATGTGATGCGGCCTCACCTTCAAGAATATTGGATGATTCAAACGACGACCGGATAATCTTCAAATTCGAACTGAGCCTGCTTCAACATGCCTCCTATATGCCATAAATCACAGCATCTAATGTATAGCATAACATTGTACATAATAGTCATCTCTCATTACCAAAGTGATCAAACCTGTAAACTGGTTTGTATTCATGTAACCTTTGTTGCATGAAATATATTATTATTATTATTATTATTATTATTATTATTATTATTATTATTATAACTGTAACCAGATAGTAGCCAGATTGCCGAAATCCAGAGGAACGAAGAAAGTGCAAAACAGAGGTGACGTTCTGATGCCTACTTAACGAACTTTTTCATTTCATGGATATCCATCAACTCCTTGGCACTCACGCTATATTCACAGATACGAAGTATAATGAAGCTATCGGCAGGTAACCTCATCGCATCCGCTGATATCACTTCTGGTTAGAATGAAAAGAGTTGTTACATAGTATCATTTTCATTAAATTTGTGTACAAATCTCTCTCCTAATTACTTTCCTGAGAGATTTATGTGCGCACTAAACTTTGCATCCCCCTGGCCTCACTTTCCTCTGGATGCTCCCATAGTTTAACTTTGCTCAGCTACTTTTATATCCCTCTACAAATGAGCATTTCACCCACCTTTTCCTTTTCGTTTTGTAGTGACCCAGAAGTCTTTGCGCCATGTGGTAGTACGAATGATTTTTGCGTGATCAATCGGGCTTGACTACGGCATGAGCAGAGGTATAATGGTCATATTGCGATGTCTGAGTCAACACAGTGTGCATGGTCCTAGCCAGTGGAGAGTAGGTTGAGAATATCTTCGTAGCCATCAACCTTACTGAGCGTAGAAAGGAAATATCTGAAAAATGGAGTGAAAAGATGCGGATCTGGTGACGGCTGACTAGTAGACATGGTGGCAGTGAGATAAACTTGAACCACCCTTGCTTGCATAGCAATATCTTCATACGGCCTAAGGCCCCTGTACTCATGATGGTTTTTGGGTCCAAAGTAAAACCAAAATGACGACAAAGTAATGGAAAATAAAAATTCCCCCTGCCTGCTACCCTGGCTTACTCTGCACCACAACATTGTCTGTGTAGCCCTGATATGATAACACTAAACAGATAACACCATGGCCACCCCTTCATTGTGATTATACAAAGCGTGTTTACCACTATAGCAAAGAGTATGAGCGTTTATAATTTCATTTAACTTTTGTACGTAAGTCTTCTGCGTATAAGAGAATACCAGGTTCCATATCCTCCCTTTTCTCTATTCTATGACGACATCTTTGGCTTCAGCTCTGGTTTACTACTTCTTTGTGTACTTTCATCTTCGTCTCCACAAGGTGACCTCCAAACAGTTAGTCCGTGATACTTCACCAAGTAACTTTTGTAGTCAGCACAACTAACACACCTATGTATAACCTGATCGATGCGCTCCCGCACGGCATATCTATGCTTCTATTTTGTTCTGGACGTGCTTCTCGCTCCTGTTATTCATTTTTCACGTCTAACTGATCAGTCCTCCACTGGCACAAATTCTTAGCAATCGCACTTGTCAGCATACCCCATGTCATCCCAACTTTATGAGAAACGCACAAGATTCACAAAGATTCTGAAAGCATAGCTTAGGATCATTTAGAAGTTGGGTTAGTTTTCTCATGCCTGAAGAAATAGAATCTTTGCTAGAGCATTCTGAGGCTGGGTACTAGGGCCTTTTATAATCCTAATAGATATGGTCTACTTACACCAATAGGTTTTTTCTGAAATCCTTCTACTTGCAATCATTTGAGAGTCCGAAACCAACTTCAAGAGTGGACGATCAGTGGTGAGCTCACATAGAGCTTTGAGGAATGCGGGGTTACGCAACTAAAACATGATGCACGCCATATAAACAGTCCCAACGGCATGGAGCTGGAGGCGCCGAGGATGGAGAAAGGTTTGGGCGCTTTAGTTCCGAAAAGGCTCAAAATCCCCATCTAACTGTCGTGAGAACGCGTTTCGAAGAAACTTGGCGTAGACAACTCTCAGGTGAATCATTAGAAGATTGGGTCGTAGATGCCTCCATAAGACCATCGGCAGACCCAAACGGCCTCACCTGGAGTTCAGGACAACAATCTCCTCCCTGTCTGCAGAGAGACAAATTAAGCCCAGAACGCATCCACAGGCTGTGGCCTAAATCTATTGCAGGCCCTAGGCTCAAAACATATGAAGAACGACTGGAGGAACTTGATCTACATTCTCTGGAATACGGAAAACTAAGGGGGGGCTTATCATTGGCTAAGATATCTTCAGCATCGTTGGACATCCACCCAGTCACTCATGGAACCTTAGCTGAATTACCGTCTTAGAGGACGTCGCAAGTCAGATATCAGGGAGAATTCTTACTCCCCGGAGCTGTTAAACGCCGCAACGCTTTTCTTGAAGAAGTAGTTCAGACTATGTTGTCTAGGTCCTTTAAACCTCGGCTTGACGAATTCTCGGGACAAAGGTGAAAGCTCACTCGGAACCAGCTTGATTTTCGTGTTTCAGTCGCCATCTTTTTTGTTCCCTTAGTTTTCACAAAGGTTAACAACCGCAGGAACTGGTGATCCACTGGTTCTGGATGCACCATCTAGTGGAGCGAATGTTTCTCCCGTCCTTTCAACAGCCAACAACACCACAATGTGGGAGAGTTGCACGAAATAAAGGTAACCTCCGCAATAGTACCTGAAAAATTGTTAAAGCTGAGCGCACGAAAACCGCCAAGATGCTGTTATATTCGGCGGTCTGTGTCAAAACAACGTACTGATGCCCTGTCATGCCTGCTCCACAATCTGTTCCAACGCTCTAGGCGAACACACGCCTCCATGATGACTAAAACCCGCTATTCTGACTCCCATCTTTCCCGTAGGCGAGAGGCGGGACTCGAAATGCTGTTGACGCATATCGCCTCCGCAATCACCACCGAAAACAGCGAAAGGTCCGGCAGATGATCATGTCAGAGAGTAGCTGAACAAAGCGCAGCACTGAGTGAAGCTCAACACGGTTTCCGAAAGGGCGGTTCCTACGTCTCAGGCCTTCAGGCAGCTTGTGTTAACTGGACGGCATGCTGGAATGTTCAGGTCCCTGTTCAAACGACCTTTTTGGGTTTTGCCGGAGCCTTAGACACGGCCTCATGCCCCATTATCTTTCGCAAAATATCAAGGTTGGGTGCCTGCAGCCAAGTGCTTTCCTGGCTGCAGGACTATTCAGTGGTTCTGGAACTTCACGCAAAAAAGTCAACGGGGTTTGTTCGACTTGGAGGACCCTACCATGTGGTGCATCAAAATGAGTGATCGCGGATCCGCGGCTGTTCCTCCTTTTTTTGAATAACCTATTGAGTCTCGGCCATCCGATTCAACTTCACGCCCGTGACGTTAAATTATGGAGAGTTGCGACATCCGAAACAATCAGGTGCATTACAAAATGATCTCAGACAGCTTTCCTAATGGGTGAGTGACAACTGAATGGGACTTAACCTGCATAAATACTGGAGCATGTTTCTCCTCACCGCTGAGTTGCAGAAGGGTTTATGCAGCACCGCTTTTCATGCCCAAACAGCTAGGTGCCTTCAAACCAAAACTCTTCACGACGCTATACAAAACCTACAAATGACCTCACCTAGAGGTTCACAACGTCATTCCACTGTCGTACATGAAAACAGATGCGAACATCCTGAAGAAAATTTAAAGGTGGGCAACGGGGGGAGTCTTGAGAATCTGGCAAAAACCCCACGTGGAAGGGTTGACGGGCCTTAGACTGTACTCTCTTAGTTACCCTACGTTGCGTGGCTGCACGGCAACGGCTTACAAAATACTGAGTAACACAGGTCACTCGAAAGGTTACCGTGACAATCTTCGTAGCGACCGAAGGTCTGCCCATCAAGAGACCGAAACACATATGCATTCATACCTTTTCGTTCTATGAGTTTGCGGCCACTAGAACGCATCACGTGCCAAGATTCCTATTGCTTCGTCCGTCGGCAGCTCTAAGAGACTGGGCAGCCACCCCGTGAGGCGTACCTTACGCTCACCCAGCTGGGATGCAAATCAGGCCAATACAAAAGCTAATTCTGCACATCCTAGCACAGCCAGTCCAATGCAAAATCCTTTGAACTGCCACTGCTATCGTGAACTTGACTCAACCTTGCACTTACAAGTCCGACGTATCACATCCGGTTACAATGCCCCTACTAATAACATAACTGTTAATATTCCCCTTGTCGCTCCCACAACCTTGCATACTCCTACTTCTCCTGACCCTATGTTTTCGCCCTACTTATTAGGGCCTTTGTGATCACAATTCTCTTTCTTCGTACCCTTTGAATCCACCCGGGTTTCTCCTTTCCTTTCGTTCTGCTTCTTTTCACACTATTTTCTCACCCCCTCTCCTTTGTTTCCACCGAACACCACGTCCCTTCTGCCTTCTTTGTGAACGAGTCCAAACAACTGCCCAGCGACACGACCTGTGAGAAACCCATCTGGACCACATTCTTTGTGAAAATCATATAACCACTACAAATTTAACAAACACCCTGCAGTCTCTCGGTCTAACCGAAGCTGCAGAAGGTGAGTAGGCAGATCTACTGCATTGGAATCTAACACAGACCTAGAACTGTTCTACAGGACCCAAAAGAGATAGCGAAGAAACCAAATGGCTTCAAAATTTCGCAATAGGATATTGGATATTGGACATGGCACAGTCATTTAACATAAGTGGCTTTCAAAATCCTAACTCCATTGCCACATTTTGCCTATAAGTGTTTGCTGGTTAGTACTCCTATCTGTTATTCAGTATTTTTATTTGAACCCTATATATTTCATCTGTTTAATGTTATTATACTGTCAGGAAAATGTTATTAGTAGAGGATTGTCCAACGATAACCAAAGTATATATTTTGGTTATATACTCACCTCACGTGGTTGAATATCATAAACCAGTGCTAAGAAATTCCACTTAACATGCTAGTATTCTGTTTATACGGTGATTTGAAGTATAACATGCTTTCTCCCATTCAAGATCATGCAAATATTGTTAATCATCTCAAGCAAATCTCAGTGATATCACCTATCTCAGCCGACACTGTTGAAAAAGTCAGCCGAAATGTAGGGCCTAAGTAGGACTTTTGTAACACCTTTGTGCCTGGCTTGATCCTCTCAGCCCCTGCGTGTGGCCGCATATTATGACCACTTGTCCCTGTGTTGCCCGACTCTTTCTCAGGTGACCCTACACTCAGCCCCTGTGTCTCCAAGTTTGTCTCCATGTGCAACCCATATTCGATTCATAACCTAGCTTTGCTCTATATGACGACCAGGATGTTGGTTTGGAATCACAAGTACCTACTGGAGAGGTCCATCCATCCGAATCAACACAGGAACATGCATTACCGCGTAACGGTCCGAGTTGCCACTGCTCATATCAGTACATCAAGTAAGAAGGCAGTGAGGTGCAAGATGAAGATAAGAAAATTCAGTCAAGAGAAACATAAAGTACGAAAAGAGGAAGTAAGAATGAGAAAATGGTGAGATTTGGTATAGCATCGTTAAGATGAGGATAATGTGTGTGGGGATACATCTGCGCCATTGACATCGGTTCGAAGCCATATCGCCTAAAGTCGGTCTTTAACCACTGGTTTCTCTTGTCCCGCCAACCCCAACCACCCAATCTGCATTGCCCCACATGGCTCAAACCAACAGTCACAGACTTCATACATTGGTGTCAACATTGTGTGACGAGGCGACCGGAGACTAGCCATACGCAACACGTGTCCCAACCAAGTCAGTCGGTGAAGGTTCACAACCTCGGCAACTGATTTATCTCTTCTCCCTAAAACTGTATGCCTGATGTCTACGTCACTCATGTGGTGACATCAGGGAATACGGCCTGCACTACGAAGGCAACGGTGGTCAAACACCTGAAGCATTCTCATGTCATCCACTTTCAACGGCCATGTTTCACAGTCATGCAGGAGAACAGAGGGGACTGCTGTGCAGGTGCAGCACACGTGACGCTTAATAGACAATCGGATATCACGGCGGCGCTATAGGTGGCGTAAGTTGGCGAAACCCAGCCGAGCCCTTTGTATTCGTGCAGACATTTCATCGGCCACTGAGCCACCAGGGTAGGGCTGATTCTACTTCCCAGGCAAGTAGTGAAGTGGCCGACACACTCAATCACTACACTCTCGATTGTTAGCCACGGTGGGGCACCGTCGAAGACCAATCGTGGGGCAACAATTTGCATTTGGGTGGTGAGGAGCGCATCCCAAACATTCTCAAATTACCACTCAGTGTCCAGAAGACTCTGCATCATGTCAACGTCCTCACCTAACAGGACTATGTCATCTGCACACTCTAGGTCTAACGAAAACTTTCCACCGATTAGGTCAGCCTCTGTGTAATCAGGTGACGAGAGAGAGAGAGAGAGTATCAGTGATAAAGTTGAATAAGAATAGAGACAGTGGGCACCCCTGACAGACACCACTCGATGAGCATAGCTCCCTGAACATCTCACCATAGGCTCTAACACACCCACAAGTGTTCGAGTAGAGAGCCTTCAATTAGGTGATGTACTTACTCGGCATGCCTTTCAGTGAGAGACATCGCCATAAGACATCTCGATCAACGGAGTCAAATACCACCTTCAGATCGAGAAATACAGCTGTTGTCGAGCGTCAGTAAGCGTGCTTGTGTTTTTTCAGAAGCTGACGTGGAGTGAATATTTGATGGATGAACCTGCGGCTGGGTGTAAAGCCTGCCTGGTTTTCTCGTGTTTTCTGTTCCCGAGCTTCACTGAGGTGTTGAAGAATTAGAGAATTTAGGATCTTGGACACTTCGTCAAGCTGATTCGTCTGTGGTTATCACCAGAGGACTTCTCGCCTTTCGTGAAAACTGGAATAATCAATAATTTAGACCAGTCAGAGGAGATCGTATATGATTCCCATACACTAGTTAGCACTTCCGTTAACCTGATTAATAGCACCTTACCACCATGCTTGTATACCTTTGGAGTTAGTCCATCTGGTCCTGCTGCCCTTCCTCGTTTCAGGTTATCTACTGCTTTCTCAACTTCTGCTAGTGTTTTTGGGGTGCCTATCTCAATGTTCGATTCAGGATGCGACTGGATAGCGGGCAACTCAATGGTGGCTGGAGGCCAGTTAAACTGTTCCTCGGAGTGTTCTTCCCATCGTTCTAGTCGTTTACTCTGCGAGTGAATCGCAGTGGATCTTCCTTCTCTGCTGTAGCCTCACTAACTGTTGTTGACCTTTTCCCTCCAGTTTCCCTAATAAGTCGAAATAACTGTTTACTGTTACCAATCGCCGCCGCCTTTTTTCATCTCTAGCCTTCACTACCCACCACTGTTTGCGGTCGTTGCGTAAACTTTTTCTCAATGTACTTTTGAGTTGTGCTCACTCTTCATTGTACTCAGAGCCTGCAGGCAGGGATGCGTTCACGTGCATCCATTAGTTTGGAAGAAGGTGTTGATACCAAGTGGCTGTTTTCAGCCAGTCTTTCGGAGTCGGCTACGGTCTTGAGCACTGCTTTTACAGCAGACTGGAGATGGCGCCAAGCTTCTTGTGGCTGAGTGATAGATAGTCTTTTGTTCTTATAACTGTCTAGCCAACTTCTCACTGAACTGAAGACGGCTTTGGTGTTTTTGCTGTCCAGCAGCATTTGCAGTGATTTTGTTACCAAACGTTTCCTACGTTCATTGAGACACAGGCATATACTTGGTTGGACCAACGCGTGATCGCTATCCAAACTCGTGCTCCAGAAGGAGCGGGAGTCTTCCACCGATCGTCTCCAGCGTTGGCTGATAGCAATGAGGTCTATCTGTGTCGATCACTGAGTTGAGCTTGGTGGACGCGACGTTAGACAGTGCCTTTCTTTATGTCTGAAATTTGTGCTAGCTAAAAATAGACAGTTATCTGAGCATAGTTGTAGTAGGCGATCACCGTTACCTGTATGTTCAGCCTTGATTCCGAAAGTGCCACCTAAGTGCTTTTCTGCCTCACTAAGTCTACCCACCTGTACATTGGAGTCACCTGTAACAACCACCACATCCGAATGTTTGGCTTTCAAGAGGAGGCTAAACAGTTTACGATAGAACTCGTCCTTCACTTCATCCGAGCTGTAGTCAGTGGGTGGGTGGGCATAGATTACAAAGAGACAACGGCGAGTCTCCCTATTCCTTTTAGTTCCCACTGTGCCGTTCAGTCGGAGAGAGCAGAGGGGACTATCAACTGGGATCCAGTCTAGTAGTGAGTTTTCTGCTCTAGCGCTTAGTGTTATGCCTACACCTGCAAGGCCGCGAGAGCTAGCTATCGAATCTCCAGAAACTGGACGGGTGAAGTTCGCGGATTCATTGGATTTGCTGGGAGAGATTAGGTGAATAACCACACTTGGGTCCTGTATGCGTGTCTTGCAAACATAGCACACATCCATACCTCGAGTTGCTAGGATCTTTGCCAACGAAGCCTGTTGACCAATTTAATGGAGGGTGCAGACATTGAATGCCCCGATGTGTAATTTGGAGCGTGGTTTAAGGAGACCAAGGATGCTGTTTTGTGGACTCAAATCGTTGTCGAAGGCTGGAGAGAGGTAGGTAGGTAGGTAGGGGAGATTGGAGATGATGTAGTGTCGTTAATTGAGAGATGTGAAGGAGGATTAGAAGGCAATGCTGGGGAGGTGGATAGCAGTCTGAGGAAATTTGAGTGCTGACAGAGTTGTGAGGATGGTTGAGACTTCCCGGCTGCCCACACCGTGGAAGGCTATTTTTTCTTAAGGTACCTTAAGGAGATTTGTGTGACTGCAGATCTGTCACACGCAGCCTTTTGTGTATGATTGTTTTGAACTTTTGTATTTTTGGGGTGGAATGGTCGAAAAGAAACGAGAAATGAACCAACACCGCCGGCCCGGCAGACCGTGGTGTATGGTTGAGTGTGTTATTTTTGACACCGATCTTTTCTAACCTCCCCTTCCACTGGGTAGGCAACATCGGCATGGCACTGCTTGTCATTCAAGGGAACAGCCTTACTTCTGTCACACCCCATCCAGCCAGTAGCAGTACGACTTCGTCCTCAGACCCCCATCATAGTGTAGTAATTTACACTACAACGGTAACTGCTCTTTGTCTTATCACAATCCAACAGACGTATCTGGTATGTTAGGACCTCGAGGGAACAAGTGTTCCACCTGTATAAGTCGTTGGGTCATTGTGATATTCAAACCTGACCATCACATCAAGGTTGCAGCTATCGGTCAGATACCGGAGAGGTATAGGTAGATTACGCTTCGAATACACATCGCAAACAAAGATGACACTGGCTACATTCTGTATTTCTGACTTTGTGCATAACATCTATAGCTATCACCTTTTAGTTCAATTTAATCCTTTCCATCTGGAACTAGCAATCAAACTGTTTTGGCTCCATGTCACAAGAGTTCACTTTTCTGTTTTCAAATCTCACGTGTAAATCTTCATTGAGCAACACAGTAGAATACTAGCCCTTGGTAAATCTTGTACATACCACCTGGAAAGACACAACTTCAGGTGGTATCTGTCTCCTAAAAGATCTACCATTCATTTCTGCAACAAGTTCCAGTCGCTGACTCCTCGATGAGAAAATGGATACCGTACTCGAAAACAATTCAACACCAGCTTTGAGTCTTTTCTGATAGCCTAAAAGCTGATCATTCCTAAAGGGATTAAAGAACTTAGATTAACCAATACATGTCATTATTCAAGATGTGAAGGGTGAAAAATAGACCACCTATTTTCCTATGATAAGTTAAGGGACAAAGTTTTGACCTTACTAATCGCTCTTCATAAGAAAGATGGACAGTACCTGTCACTAGTTTGTTGGCAACTCCTTGGACCCGTTCTAGTGTATCAGCTTCCTTTCTGAAGTATGGACTAGCTGCCTAGATACAGTGCTCTAAGTGAAGCCGCACATAACGGAGGCATAGAATCTAAGGCATATCTTCAGCCAAGTATTTCAATACTCTACGAAGCTACCAAAAAATACAAAACTCTCTAGCTTCATAAGCATTTCAATTCACAACCATCTTTGATTCGTGGCTTACGATAATTCCTAAGTCTTTTTGTTCCAAATTTCAGGCTATTGGTTGATCATTCATTGAGTAACCACCAGAGAGTACTCACTCCAAATTTACATAACGGCCCCATCGTTTAGACCACTCAACTAGTCAATCAATATCACCTTAGAGCGAATAAGCCTTCATATCTTAACATCATAAATGAATAGCAAAGATGATGGCCTAAGCATGTTTGGTATTTCACTAACTCAAAGAGTATTGGTCCAAGGATTGAACCCCAAGAAACACAACTAGTGACAAGTTGCCACCCAGACGGTATTCCATTGGTTTGATGTATCACTCTCAACAACCGATTTTCATAACCCTGTCACTTCGTATTTGTTTTTAGTGGTAGTGGTAGTAAACTTTTCCATATTACTGATACGGGTGTTGATTCATTCCAAGTACAGGACTATAAAAATGGAAGTGATCACATTGATATGATTATAAGCGATAATTTATACTCGAAACTTCAAGTAAATAATACTGTATCATTGTGTTGGGCTTGAAATGAACAGATCTAAAGTGGGATTACAATCTACCGCAGTTCCCAAGTCTTACACATAGTATTCCATTGACTCTTACTCTTTCCTTTCTCTCATGTAAACATTCCTGAATCCAGGCTTAAATCCCATTTTCAACCTCACCTGAAGATAATCTATACAACTATTTTAGCTTAGAGCTTTTTAATAACAATTAAGATGCGACTGTGCTTATTGATACAGGAAAGGTAAACTCCAAGCAACCAATACATATCAGGATTCATTTTCCCTTTTCACTAGATTTATACATTTTCATTCACTGACCTTTACAGATAAACTTCTATTTGGAATCTCACCTAATCCATAAGTCGTATCAAAACTTATTGTCTACTGGTAATACTTACCAGTTATGGCGAATACAGCAATATGGGTTGTCGTGGTTTTAGGCTGTGCTATCCTAACTTGGTTTGATCTTGGTGGACTAAAAAGTAACCATACATCAGAAAAAACCATACCAACTTTAAAAAAGCCAGCAAACCCACTCCCTACACTTCAGTTCATGTTTTGGTAAGCTTTTCGATTTTTAATTTCACTTCTCTAGTGTTTCCTGAGGATATCGGCGGGTGTTTGAGGAAATGTCACGGATCGTCTTACAGAAACATCCATCCTTTATTATAGAAGGCGATACGTATCCTCCACCCGCCTGGCGAGCTCACCTAGCAAAGCTTTCTCAACTTTTAAAATATTCCATTATTCTGATGACTGTGTTTAATTTCGATCCCTTTGCATATTTTGGATATCCCACCCCCAGCATAGTTTCTTATGCTGCTCAAAATAAAGTAAGTGTAGTTTATCTTCCTGTTTAGGCATTTAATTTTCTCTGATCATGCTTTTACTCTATTGAGTTGACTATGTACTCGTTAGTTTTGTAAGCGGTTAATTGTGTTGCTATTGCCTAACACGTGATCAATCCTACATAAATTGATACATAATAGTACCCAACTAATCAGTGCTCTACCTACGTGTAAGTACTAACGAAAAATGGCAAGAAAAGAGGTCAGTAAAATTGCTCAGAGGGCAATGAATTTTTTAGTATCTGATCAAAGATTATTTTTGGGAAAAAATTGTAACTTATTTGGCTAAACTACGGGTTCTGAGGTTGCGATTATTAATCAGCACAAAGAAGATGCGAAGCGATGGTTGTCTATAAGTGGATGCTTACACGTGTTAAGAAAATACAAAAAACTGACAGCACCCGCTGATACCTTAGCAGATCACCTAGCTAATACTTCGATATTTTAAATATTTTGAACCTAATAGTATTTACATGTCAAGATGTTCTACAGAGTAACAAGTGCTTTAATGTATGTGAACTGAGCGATGCTCGGTTCACTGTGATGTTTTACAATCATTACGGTTCACTAATATTATTAAGACAAATGATTCATTTTAGCTTTCAGGGCAATTTTTGAAGCGTCAGCTATGTTGTATTTCTAAAGTACTCCTAAAATATCTTGAAATACAAATTTGCATAAACATGTATTGTTTTTTAAATTTGAACTAGTATTGTTGCTTGTATTATCCCGTGGTTGATTGGACGGAATCGATCGGTCTCTATTGACATATGAGCTCCTGCGTGGATGTCTGGATGTTTCCTGTGTTTGAATTATGTGTTAATAATGAATGGTGGCTAGCAGTGGAATCCAGGACAAGCATTTCGTTCTATTTGGGTCTTGCCAGCTAGATGTACGTGCCTCTCAGCGAGCCATGTTCCAACTAGGACCTGAACTCGTGATCGCTTGCTTCAAACTGCAGAGCGTTATCCACTAGGACATCGTCGCACAAAGAATGGCTATCATGACTCGGTGGTGTAATGGATGACGCTCTGGGGTTTGAAGCGACCGGTCCCGAATTCGAGTCCTAATGGGGATAGCTTCATTCACTGGGAGACAGGCATGTCCAGCTGACGAGTCTCAGAAAAGACGAAACGAGCATTCTGGACTCCGCTGCTAGCCACTACCCATCATTAGTATTGTACTAGACTGTTGTATAAATGGGTCATGTGGATCTGGTGACCAAATGTATTCTGACCTGTGAAGTAACCTATCAGATATTTCATCACCATGTTTTACGTCGTCAGAACTGTTCAGTAGTAAACGTTAGATGTCCAGGTAAAATGAAGAAACCAGCTTGATCAGATAAATAAATATTTAAATGCGTAAAGTTTAGTCACATAAAATAAATGAAAAGTTGGATTTGTAGGTTGTATGTTGTTTTTCATTCCTGTATAAGCAAACTCCTATTGACTCTCACTTCTACGTTTTTCTTCATAAATTCAATAATATTTATTTAATTACTACTGCATGGGTGTAACATGAACGTTACTGTTAATAAACTATTCTCCTGTGTTATGCGTAAGGTTCAGTTTTAAAATCATTACATTACATTACAAAAGCAATTAAACTTATGCAATTGAATGTAATTTTCCACAAACATGCATCATAAAAGTTGTTAGACTTAACGATCGTATAGTAAAGTGGAAATCATCAGAATAAGCAGAGATGAATTAGGTAACGAATAAATGTATGTTTAAAATATAAAGAGAAGATAAATTAGCGAATTCCTGTAGACTTGTGGTAAATTCAAACCTCTTTCATATTATTTCCTACCGTTAACCTACATAGTGCAGATAAGCCATCAGTGATTTTGATGCAGGTCTCTTCTCAACTTCATCGAACATAATTTGTTCGCACTGAGCTATATCATTTTGGTTTTGAATGTCTGATGACGTGAATCCTCTCAGAAGTAATCATATCAAAAGTACTAGTATTTGCTTTTGGTATTCATCTTTGTCACATCTCCATTTTCTTACGAGGTAATGCATAAGCTGAAGTCAAAAATTGTACCGATCTTAACAATGCCTGAAAATTACAAGTGAAAGGTGTCGTTCAAAGTTTTAGTACCTCTTCCTATTATTTTTATTCACCCAATTATTGAATTATTGAAGAATTCATTATAATATTTAATCAGGTTTAATAACCCTTAGTTTTGTGGTTGGGCTTTTAATGCATCTATTAAATTCTACATTGCAGGATCATGTTAGAGTTTATGAAGATGAAATAGGTTTTTGTAGAGAATTAAATAATGATGGTTTGTTTGCCTAAACTAAGAATCAATGTAGGAATCCATTGTGACAGTATTTCTCAAATCTTGTGTTTTATGCATAGCAGATTTTGACTTCATAATATTTTGACTAATTTTGTACATTATGAGAAAATTGGCATCAATTTTCCACCTTCACTAAGTTTATTGTCCTCAAGGAAAGATAAAAGTTCATTTCACTGTAATAGGTAACTTAAACTTTATAGCACTAGGGCTCCATGGAAAGCGACCATGATATTTCACTACTATTAATGAACAGTTAATTACGTCGAATGTCGGTTAGCCTCCCGAAATTCAGCGTCTCAGCTTTATTCATATCACACCTATATTCATCAGTTCCAGAGGAACATTTAACTGTAATTGATAAAGTGATTTATTATTATCAGTATGATGCCAAGTGGATTTATCAAGTACAGCTCATTGTCTATAGCTTATTATTTTATTTTGTGACTATATGAAAGCGACGTTAGGAAAGAATGTCCAGTAATCACACGACTATGTAACTAGTGTCAACAAACAAATCTGCTATATCAAAGTCGCTTTTTACCAGAAGTGCAGTTTTCATGGCTTAATGTCTCAAGAGTGTTTTGTGTGTATGTGTATATTTTATCACACAAAACAAAGTGACTAAGAGTGTAAGTTACTCCGCTAGATATAAGCTGATTTGTCGGCTTAGAAGCTGTTCACCGTTGTGTGTTACTGGATTCAGTCTTCTGTAGCAAGCTGGGATTTTTTATACTGACCACTTTCCCCACTTTTTAAACATACATAGACATCGTGAAGTCTGTCACTGGGGATGGTGCCCAAAAAACTTCCTGTGGTAGGTAGGGGGAAGGGGTGTAATTCAAAACAAATGTTTTTTGAAATGCCTTTTAAATATTTTGTTTTAGAGTGCGAGGTTATGCTTTAACTACATTTTATTGTCGTTACAAAATTATTGATTAATTTTCTTGCTTGAAGATTTCCTTCTGTTTGATGACTTTCCTCTTCGGAAATATCGTTGAAGGTCAGCTGCTCTCCACAGGTGCTTTCGAAATCTACCTAGATGGTAAGTGTTGTCTTACTGTTTTTAGTTATGGCCTATTGATGATATTCTATATATTTCCATTTAATTGGTGTACAATCTAGCGTAGTTTTTTAATTTGATAAAAAGCATCGAAAAAATGGTGCCTTAAGTAGATGAGATCTAATTCAATTTTTTTTAGAAAACAAACCACACATCCGTATATCGCACAGATTATTCGATACTCCCTAGAGACTTTTACTAGTCGATAGTCCATACTGTCATGAAGAACCTGTTTTAATGGCCTACTTTTAACGTTTATCAGGAAATACATTTTGACTGATGGTTTCGATTCTTAACCATTTCTACCGTCCTCGTAGACCGCTTAGTAGATGGCTTCTTAGACTCCGTCCACGGAGTGATGAGATACTAACAGATGTTAACCCGATAAAGGTATTCTTCACCTCATGCCACCACATCACACACTGATCACCTCTCCATTTCTTCTAGCCAGTCCCAAGGCTAGCAAACAGTGACCAGTATGAGAGCCGCTTGGACGATATTCATGACGCTTGAGTAACTCATCGAAGCTAGTGTTTCAAAGTAATTCTTCTCAGTATATAACAATCTCCACAACATTCAGACATGCACTGCAACACCTCAAGATTATTTACTTGGTGCTCCTATTAGATTTCAGCAGTCCTACGGAAACAGTTGTAGTTGAATACATGGAGTCATCGGACATCCTCAGTTCGGAAATGCCAAGTTTCACAGGTGAAGAACGAAACAGCTCTCATTAACACGTACCCACCTAACTTTTTATATTCAGACTAGTGTCATAATGGTACTATATGTGATCCTAATCGGGGTATGCTGCTCTGACCTTCGATGTACGGTTAGAAATATCATCACTAGCATACCTAACCAGGTACATGAGATATTCGACTGCTTCCAATGATTCGCTGCCAAGGTACCGGCTCCTATCAATCTTGTAAAAGAACCTTGCACTTCGCAGTGAAAAACACATACCATACTTATGAAAACCGTTCACCAATTAGTAAGGGGCTATTTGAGTAGTCTGTAAGTAGTCGCACAGTAAAACGATATAATCTGCATGATGAAAGTTGGAACGTCTTTATCTTAGTAGGAGGCCCATATCACCAAGTACCTTTAGGGTTATCTTGAGAAATACCATTGGTGACAAGTTAAAGGCAAATATTGAGACCAAATGACCGTACCTAGTGTTTCTGCCGGATTGAAACAATGAACACAGGTAGTATGCCCTCAGTCTTTCTGAGAAGCGTTCATGTAGGGCGTTTAAGATGCCTATAGACTTCATAGGGGCACCCTTCTCTAGCAGGCAAATCTGTCCAACGAAGCGAAGACAGTCATGTAATCAAGAGAAAACGATCGTTCATTAGCAATATATTACTCGAGCATCTGGCAGAGTGATCATATGGCACGATACCCAACCTACTCACGGGTGTTTCCCACGCGTTTTCAAAAGCCAGCGAGGCATGATGGCAGCCAGTCTTTTAGACGTTCGTAGCAGGCTGTCACCCTGGTGACTGTCACATATGTTACGTATTCATTTTCATAGTGATTAAAACAACAATTCTGTCACTGTAGAGTGGTAGGACACAATCCATCGTACACTTTCATACAATATAAACACTTCTTTAACTTCAGTATCACATCTGTCCTTAAAATTTAAGAGGGTGAAGTTGTCTAGGTTGGGTGCTTGAGTACTTGGAGTTCCTTAAACAACTTCGTTACATGAGTCGATGTCAACTAACCATAAAACACAAAGCAGTGAAGTGAATTTTATTAAAATAGTAGCCCACTGAAATTGTCTTCCAAAGCACCTCTCGGACATTTAAGACGTTTTTTGATCGGCGTACTATCTAATAAAATATCCCATTGACATTGGGATTTTTGTGGTTGGGATGAGGTGGATCAGCTCCTGATTATTGTCACATGCAGCTACTACTTCCATCCCGCTCGCGCGTTTTGACCAACAGGCCTTGCAGTTCGTGCGTAGATGCCGTTTCATTTGTCGCATGGGAGACTCGCACATACCACTGGTCTTGCCGTCTGCCGGAATGCACTGATGAAGGTCAAAAAGTTGCAAGAAGTACTGGAATCCAGTACCTATCAGACAAACACTCTCAAAAGCCTGAAGTAGTTTCACTTGTTTTGTACGTTGCTTCATAAATGTAGCTGGTGCTCGTCTACATTTTCTGCAGATTCGACAGCTGACCTTGGATCTAACTCGGTTCGGTATTTATTTGTCATGCTAAGAGCAACAAATTCGCTCAAGTTGGCCCATTTAGGACGGTGCTGTTGACGATCATAAAAAAACACGATGTACTTAGCATTCACGAAAGCGTGATTAGAATTCAAATAAGTGCTCAGAAGGAAACGCAGAAAATGCCACGAAGACACTTGTGATCAAAACCCTGCAGACGCTTCATGTTTCCTACTTTTAACATCCATATAACAGGACAGAACGAACTCAAGCGCAGTAAACTGGTTCGTTGGTAGATAGATATCTCACCGACAACACACGACGTAAGTTGACAAATGCCAAACGGGCCTACTGTATCCGAGCTGAGATTTTGTCAGCAACCAACCCGTTCGGGTTGACGCAACTTCCCAAGTAAGTGAAGAGGTCGACACATTTCACGACTTCAACCACTATCATTAAACTGGGAGGGGCTGCAGACCAAAGATCAACCCGAGGCAAAACATCGGCACGTACAGTTCAGTTGTCGGTAGGGTCAACACACACAAATACAACGTCTTCTTATGTATTACGTCAACACCTGCGAAGTAACCACATCTGGCGATGAAATGTCGGATCATAAATCAGCGTAAAGAAGGCTAATAAACTAGTGTATCTTTGTGGACTAAATACTGTAAAGAAATAAGTATCCAATCGGAAGTAAAAATCTTTAATCCTGGAACTCTGACAGGCATTCCTTACTGTTTTTTTTCGAAACAAATGTTTCAAAAGTAGTGACGATTTGCGAAAAGCTAAAATATGTTTTTTATAGCTTTTCAAGGGAGTTTTATTAAAGCTATCCAAGAAAAACTGGTTTTAATGGACGAAAAATCTGGGCTTGACGTATACTTATATTTCAGTTGTCAAATTTAATCAGAAATATGTTTCTTCTCAGATTTAGGTACCTTTCGAATTTAAATTCATTTTTCAGATATGCCAATCTGGTCAAAATTGGACACAAACCGCATTCCACAACCTGAAGAGCTCCTAAAGATAATTGATAATCACCTAATGTTCCAGCGACCAGGACGAGTTCCGAAAGCTGCTCTTCCGCCCCTGTAATGAAGCACACCAACGAGTTATATAGTCTCATTTTGATAAGAAGTACTTAATTGTACAATATCTGAGCTTTCGCTGACTCTATGACAGTTGTCATGTCAATCTCTTTATAGAGAACATGACCAACTTGATGCTTGCCAGCTTTGGCTCAGGTATATCACCTAGTTTATATAATCATAGTGTTTAAATATTGAATACTTTGGACTTGAACTATCCCTTTGTAAATTCCCAAACTTCCATTGGGTGTGTAATATTCTTTCTTCTCATTTATTTATGAACTTAATAAATTTGTTTTAAAGCATGTCGTATACCTACTTGTTTATTTACCTGAAGTCTGGCCTTACGATGTTGTTTGGAGTAAGCATCAAAGCTTAACAATTAAGCCATCTAGCTCAGTGAACACGACAACAAAATCTGCCTCAGTTGTAATTGAAGCTCTTGAAGTCATTCAAACTATGGAGAATCTTTTAGCTTGAGTTGAGATGTAATGGGTACGCAGCATGATCAAGTTGTGTTCTGTGAGTCACAACAGATACCCATCGATTTCATGTTACATGGGAAAACCGGGTATTGCATAAATAAACCAGCGTAGATGAACAAGCATAGCATTTCCCCTTTTATCTGGAGTCCTATAACTTTATTCAATGTTTGATTTAAGTAGCTAGCAAAAAGAACTGAATAACTTTTGGATTCTCACTTTTCCGATCGGTATTATGAAGCATGGGTTTTGTACGAAAAAATAGTAAAACCTTCTAGCTGATATTTAGCTACAAAACCTTATGACTTAGAAATAACTTTTTTCTTCGTGACGCGGTCAAAATGAAAGGGAAAACCTCAGCCGTTGTTTTCGCTTCTTACCATTTCATAGTAATGATTAGATGTGAATCTAAGTATCGCATAGCACGAAGCTCGTTCGCGTACCAGGTTTTGTTGTAAGCTTGTAGATTGTACAAGTGGAAACTAGTAAAACGCTAAGGATTGCCACATCGATTATTTTTGTAATTTTCAGGTGCAAAATTCAAATCCCTTATCTGGAACCATCTAATGGGCCACCCTAACAACAACTGTAACAATCAACTAGACTTCCTCATTTTATGAAAATCTGCCTTTCCAAAATAAGTAGTAACGCATCACGAGTTCATGTGGCAGTCGGGCAAAAGCCCTCGCTGATTGAGGTGGATTTAAGATCTGACAAGAGGCTGGACCTCGTAGCTCAGTTGGTAGGGTATCGTGTCAGTAACATCGGAGGTCGCTGGTTTCAGAAATATACCCCATAGTGAAGTCGTACTTCTGTAGACGAAACATCCATCGTGGTAACTTCCCACGAGTCCCTTACTGTTTCCAACCAGTGGGTGCGTTTATGATCAGTCTCAATATGGAACCGGAGACCCAGCGGATACGCCTTAATTTGTGTAGCGCCTAAACCTCGCCTGGATAGCTAGTTCACCAACCGGTCCTAAGCCTGGATCAACAGGGAAGGTTGGGCATAGGACTAGCAACCCTAACCCGTAATACCAATCCAATCGCTAAAGAAAATACTAGGCACAAAAAAAATACAAAGTATGAAAACAAACTTATTCCTCGCCGGAATCGGAGAGACGAAATGACACCAGTCGGTGGAAGGCTTCGCGAAGCCAGTCGGCCAATGTGTCTTCTCTCCCCCGATGAAAGCAAAAATAAAAATGGGGACATGGAATGTCCGAACAATGTTTGAACCTAGTGAGGCTGCCCAGATTGCAAAAGAGATGATGAGGCATGACATGGTAGTGCTAGGCTAGAAATCTGCGAAAGCAGATGGAATAGAAGTGGACTCTGCAAACTGTCAGCTGGAGAGTCAATCTACTCCGATATTGTCACACAGACAACCACGAGCACACGGAGGGAGTGGCTAACATGATTTCCCCAAGAACATGGAAGGCTCTCATGCAGTGGAAACCAGTCTACTCCAAAATCATGACAGGAAGATTCAACTCAAAAGGAAGGGAAGTCACAATCATTCAATGCTATGCTACACACCTACAAATAATGCAGATGAAGAGAAGGAGGAATTCTACAGGCAACTGCAATCAGTACTTGACAAGACTCCAGTTGGTGACATCAAAATCCTGATGCGTGGGTTGATATGATTTACAATTAGAGAGCGGACAACACACGAAGAGAACTTAACATGGGTCGAGAAGCACTCGGTGAAATGATGAATGAGAATGGAGAACTGTTTGCAGACTTCTACGCAGTAGGAGTGAAGGCCTGAACTCCATGAAGTTGCTGAAACCCGAGGAAAGCAGGAGGACCAGAAGGAGTTCCGCCAGAAGCACTGAAAACAGACGCAGAGACAACAGCGGATATGCTCATACCACACCACTATTACAGAAGGTCTGGAAGGAAGGGGAGGTACCTGCCAATGGATTGGAAGAAGGGCTACCTTGTCAGACTCCCGAAGAAGGGGGACCTAAGTGTTTGTAAGAACTGGCGAGGAACCATGCTCTGCTCCTATCCACACCAAGCAAAATATTAAGCCGCATCATGCTGGAGAGACTAAACAAGGCTCTGGATTCAAAATTACCACCGGAAAAGGCTAGCTTCAAGAAGAACAAATCATGTGAGCATCAAATTGCAACGCTACGCATATCATAGGACAGAGCATAGAATGGCAGTCAACTCTCTACCTCAACTTTATCGACTTTGAAAAGGCCTTCGACAGCGTTGACCGACAAGTAATTTGGCAGTTTCTTCAACACTACGGAATACCACAAACCTTTTTCAACCTCATCCAACGGCTACATGAAAACGCCACATGCCAAGTGATCCACAATGGAAAGCTCAGTTCAGTGATGCCTTTGAAGGAGTAGCACAAGGTTGCCTACTATCACCGATCATCTTCCTGATTGTGGTCGACTGGATCATCCAGTAAACCGTGAGGACCAAGAAGACGGGCACACACTGGCTGAACCGATGAAAAGACCCCAGAAAAAAATTTGGGCTTCGCCAACAACGACGATTTACGTCTAATGTCTTATCGCACAAACTCGAAGATCTGCAGGCGAAAACTAGCAAGTTGATAGAAGATGCAAGGCAGCAAAAACGGGACTTCAAGTGAATGTAGAGAAGACAGAGGTGATGAAGATACCCAACCAACAACAAGCACCAATCACCACCAATGAGAGAAACCTAAAGGAAGTAGTCTCACCTACCTAGACAGCATCGTTTCAACTACAGGCGGCGGCAGCACAGACGAGGATGTCAAAAGCAGCCAAGATCGAAAAGATACAAAGGCAGGCTTCCATTAATCTGAAATCAGTGTGATCTACTGCACTCAGCATAAGCAACAATATCCGGATTTTCAACACCCATCCAGCCAAGTCAGTGCTTCTGTGATAGTTCAGAAACTTGGTGCGTCACGAAAGGCATTTTCAACAAACTAGACATTCATCAACAGCTGCCTAAGCTGGCTTGATACTGAAGATCAGATGGTCAGAAAGAATAAGCAACAAGGAACTCTGGCTGGTAACCAGGCAAGAACCCGTCGCCCAACAAATATGCAGAAGAAAGTGGAGGTGGACTGGACATACACTGAGAAGGCCGATTGGGGACATCACGCGTCAGGCTTTCAAGTAGAATCCAAAGTGGAAACGAGTTGGGCGTGCGAGGGTGACATGGAGATTATGTGAGGAAGAAATGAAAGCTTGTGGGCAGTCGTGGCACTAGGTTCAAAGAATTGCAGAGAAGAGAGTGCAATGGAGGCATGCTACTGAAGCCCTGTTCCACTAGGAACCCAAGTGAAAAATTATAATAATAAACGATGGCTTGTTATCCCTTTCCAACCATAGAAAATTTCTGTTTCACTGGCTTCAGAACATAGACGAAACACTTCAAAACTCAATCTATTTTAGGATGGCACCACCTACTTATTAAAGGACAAATGTGCTGCGCTGTAGTCCGCTTTCTCCTACCTGGCTGTGAGACATGGTAGTTGAGAGCAGAAGAGGCTAGAAGTTTTTGATCGCAGGCATGTTTCTAGCATTGTTCGCTTAAAGTGGAATCACCGTGAGCAATGTCGAGGTTGGAGGAAAGGTGCTCAACAAGTCGGTTGATGAGTTTGTGAATCTTAGTCGACTGAGGTGGCTTGGACATATACTGGATATGCCGGGCCACCGCCTACCTCAACGTGCTATGTTAGGGGAAGTTGGATTAAGATGGCCAGACAGAGACGTGGCACCATTCTATGAAGTTTCTGACTCTTGGTCTCAGCCGTGTGGGGGAGATGCAGACTACTTGGCTGGGGTCATCGAAGAGAAAACCCTTGGTGAGGTGGCTGAAAATTAGTCAGTGCTTCAGATGTATTTGCTCCCTGACATCTAAAGCTTGAGTATCTGCGCTAACCTTTATCTCCAAAATGAATACTCTCTCGCACGACTGTCTACCTTGATGTCACTCTTTTTCTAACCACCTGTCCTTTTTATACTCCTGTGAAGTGTGGCAACTTAAGTCGATGTATTTTTGCGGGAGGTTCTACGTTGATTTTGTTTGTAATATGACTGCTTTGACCACTTATGGTGACTATGAAGTGTTTCTTGGGTTCTGGAAGTCCTAGCGTCACTTAATAGTTGTTTGATTCGATCGAGTTTCTGCTATGTTACTTCTCTTAGTGTAAGCATCGTATTGACTTCTATCTTGTTCAGTTTTTCTGTAAATCGGCTGCAAAATTGTGCTGTTCCTAAGAACTTTCTTTTTGAACTGTATTTCTTTTGATAGTTAAAATTTTATCAGTTTCCTACTTTATAATCCAACAGCGTAACACTGCTCTGAGTCATCTGCGGCTTACATTTTCAGTTCGTAGTCTGAGCTCTTCAAATTGCTTTAGGACAGCTCCCACATGTTCAGTTTCCATACGGCTATAAACACCATCAATGTCAACACTTCAGGTTTAAGAAAAGTAGTCAATAATCTTTTAGAAGTGAAGCACCCAACTGCCTGTCAAAATGGCATTCCTCCAAACTGGTAGCATTTCTGTTCAACAGTAAATGCCGTCTCGCTCTGATCACTCTTCTTTAGACAGTAGCCCTACAGCAAGTTTGAAACTGCGAACAACTTCGAGTTCTGTAAGCGATCTAGCGTTGTGAGTGCCTCTTAATGATTCATATCAGATAGCAGGATATAATGAATGAAAAGGATGTGCAAGCTAATGAATACACATAATCATCGATTTACAGAACTGTGGCACAATTCAACATAATTGCGGCCAACGTGAAGTTTACCAAGCTGATATCATAACCTATGCAACGATGAATGTCGACATAACACGACTGGAATATCTAGAGAGCAGATACGAAATCTTGTGCAGAAAACGTTTTACAATAGGTGTTAACGGCAGACGAATGACGAGAATGTTTTGGCATCCCTCCGATTTTAGCCAAGTTGCGGGATTTTTAACAGATTGAAGGGGTATGTATGTTATACGCCTATGTGTTCAAAAGTGTTTAAAAACAATCTGCATATAAAAATTTATCCAATTAATTATGTTAAAATCTGGTACACGCAAAATATCTCTAGAAATCCTCTTGTCCAGGTAGGAGGAATTGCGAAGCGAAGCGTTCAATATCCAATCTTAAGTTCTTGATCATCAGGCGAATTTCATCATTTGTGTTAACTACAGCCTAGACAGACGAAAACAATAGTTAGGTTATATCACGTAATTGACACTAGCATCAAACCTTAGAGTATGAGTTCTTAGTTTACGTTTATAAATGAAGTAAATCAATAACCACAACGAAACTTATTTCCCTCTGATGAAACGTAATAGTGGGACATAGGCATTATAATAGTGCATAACTATAAGTTTTGTTTGTTGGATACTTCACATGAAGAGATAGTATTATTTGCTTGATGCTGTGAACAGTGCTGTTCCACTGTCATTCAGGTGCAATAAATAACGAAAGTTGGCGGAAGCTAAGGGAGTCTTTTGTATTTGCACAGAGATCACGTCGGCCAACTGCTCAAGTGAAGTGGTCAATGCATTAAATCAAGTGGATGGCTGCTTTCCAGGTTTCAATACAAATGATGTATTTAAATGTCTAGAGCCTTTGAATCCCTCCCAAAGCTCAGGTCCTGATGGTGTTTCTAGTATCATATTTAGAAAATGTGTAGATATTTTGTGTCATCCACTTACAGATATCTTCAATGTATCGTTCTCTAAAAACATAATACCCACTGCTTGGAAGCAGATAAAAATTGTACTTGTGCCTAAGCCACCTTCTACATCAGATGTTACTTTTCGACCCATCGCTATAACTTCCCCCTTTTTGAAGACAATGGAGAAATTACTTCTGCTTGTGATTGAGCCTTCATTGATGGCCTTCAGAGATCCAAAACAGTTTGCTTACAAACACCGGAGGAGTACTTTAGATGCAGCCATTGTCTTGCATCATAATATTGTTTCTAGTCTCGACAAAGGTGTTAAGTATGTCCGTTGTGCCTTTTTGGATTAATCATCAGCCTTTGACTCTGTTCCTGGACCACTTTTGTTGAATAAGCTTGCCATAGCTCACACTGATCCATGGGTTACAAAATGGCTGCATTCTTATTTTTCCTGAAAGGAAACAGTAAACTATTCATGAAGGGATGGGCCCCACTTCATTGCTTACTGAAGCTGGTGTGCCTCAAGGTGCTGTACTTTCCCCTTTTCTGTTTTCGTTTTTTTGCACGATTCGCCCTATTCTGTTGAAATTAATTTTATCAAGTATGCTGATGACCTGACGATTTCTATTCCAGTAAACTCTTCTTTGGATTGCTCGAAATTAAATGAATTCTCGTCTGAAGTTGGCAAATGGTCTTTCTCAAATGGTCTCAAACTAAACCCTTCTAAATGTCAGACTGTTAATTTTAACCTCAGGCGTAAACAAGACTTATGTGAGCTGTTTAAATCTCATGACGCCTGCTGCATCGATAGCATTTCTGCAGAAAGTAAATCGAGTGTGAACTATCTTGGGTTGCGTTTTACTTCTGACCTTTGTTGGTCATCCCATATTTTATTGACTTGTAAAATTATCTTTCGTTTAACTTATTACATAAAGAAATTGAGGCTTTCTGGTATAGCTCAACTGCTTCTTTTACAATTTATTAATTCCTGCATTTTACCTATTCTTCTATGTTGTTCCCCACTAATCTTTCCTGGTCTTCTTAAAAAGGACTATGTTATGTTGAGTAGGGCTTTGAAGACCGTCAGCAGGGTGAGTGGTGTGTCTCTGGCTCAACTGATTAACACTGTAGTTGGTCGACATATAAATTCCTGAAAGCTACTAGCTACAGAAATTTTAACTGACAGTGAGCATCCACTTCATTCACAGCTCTCTCCATGTATCTCCTCAGGGAGGACAAGGAGAAACTACATAAGATTGTATGCTCGTACAGCTAAGTATAAGAACTCGACTGTACCTTACCTTGCACGCATATTTTGTGAGGAAAAGTGTTAGAACAGAAATCACACATCAACTTTGTGACAGTTAAAAATCTCATTTCAATAATTTAACTTACAATGCAAAATTTTCTCGTTTTTAATATTCTTCACATAACTTAAATTTTTATAATAAAACAATTCGAAAGGCTGCAAAGCAGTATGTATATACTTATATTTTGTTGTTATTGCAATATATGTTACGCCGAGAATTCCAAATTGTACCACAAATTGTTTGGAATAAAGTGAATTATTATTATTATTATTATTATTATTATTATTATTATTATTATTATTATTATTACTCTAACATATCGAACGAAGCACCAACACCGACCAGTTATGGAAAACAATTTGCGTTTGGGTAGCCAGAAATGCCTTCTAACTATTCGCAGTTCAGCACTTTAGGTGTCCGGAAGACTCTACATCTTGCAAACGTCTTTACCTAACAAGACTATCATCTAAATAATCTATGTCCACTGACGAATCTCCTGTGACAAGGTTAGTTTCTGGAACGTCAGATTTCGAGGGAGATGTCCATAAACACATCTATAACAAAATCAAATAATAGAGAATCCCTGATGGACACCACACAGAGTATACAACTCACCTGATACCTTACCATAGGATCTCACACACCCATGAGTCTCTGAATGCAGAGCCTTCAACACAGAGATGCACCTACCTGACACTTCTTTCGCTCTTTCAAAGCATTTGGATGCCAATTTCAGGTCACGAAATACGACTGTGCGACGTTAGTAAATACGCTTACATCCTATAACCTAAGTGAGTGTGGATATCTGATAGATACACCTAAGATAAGGTCTGAAACCTCCCTGGCTTCTTCGAGTTTGTTGTTCACATGTGTCTACTGATGGTAGAAACTAGGACCTTAGAAATTGTGGTGGCTAAGCTGATTCTTCTGTGGTTATCACAGGAAGATATCTCGCCTTGAAGACTGGGGGGGGGGGGGGATCAGTTATCGAAGTCAGTTAGAAGGGATCAAAACTGGTCTCTAGACGCTAGCCAACACTTTAGTTACTCTAATCAATAATCCTCAACCACCATCCGTAAATACTTCCGTTACTAGATCAAGTAACTTTCCTCATACAAGGTCTAGCACTTGATGTCTGCAAGCGTTCTGAACCTGTCATAGTGTACTAGCCAGAACAAGACTGGATAGCGGGGAACGGAACAGTAACTGTAGGCAAAATAAAATTTTCACTCTAAGTGTTCCGTCTATCGTTTTAGTCGTCTCATCGACTTGTGAGTATATCCCGAACCCCAATCCAACTTCCACCATAACTTTTATTTCTTTATCATTCTTCTTTACAATTTCTGCGTCGATGTGGTTTGGAGACTTCAACAATCGAGCAATTATGTATGTAAATGTAAAACAAGGTTGATATAAATGATATTTCGCTATTTATCGTTAATAGTTTCATCAAGATTATAGAAGACGTTAATTTTTAATATCCAAGCTTATATATGATAAATTGATTTAAGTTATTTTTTTAGTTTGATGATTGTGTGTTGTCAAACAAAGATGATGACAATATAGATAGTGTGTTGAATGTGATGACTGCGTAAATTATAAATTGAGATTTCTATGTACAAATGCGTTGATAGTTCTTATTGCATACGTCTTGGTTATGTCATCACGTGGTGCTGAGTTGCAACCAAGTCAAGTTATGTTTTATTCCCTCATTCCTAATTAGACAATTCTGAAGAGACTTCGTTATGAGACTTACGTTAATAATGTGTTTTTGAGATAGGGATTTTTTAATTTTGAGGTAGTATTCATCAATGATTGATATTACTTGGGGGATCATTGAAAAGCTAAAAGTATTAGAGAACTGTTTCGTTCTAGTATAGAACTCTTCAGAAGTACGCACCAGCGATCCGGTGGCTAGAGATTGAATTCAGGACCTTCAAGGTTTCGCGGCGAACGCGCTAACCATTCAGCCACTGAGTCAATTTTCAGTGGTTCACAGTTTTCAACTTCTCTTAATTTGCGATACAGTGCGACTATCGCCTAAGGTCTTCAAAATAACATCCATTTCCCTTCCAACTGGTTGACTCCACAGATCATGGTTTCTCACTAGAACTTCGGGATATCTATCTGAAAACATGTCACTAATGAGTAGTATTCAGATGAATGGGAATTTTAATTTTTTTTTATAACTTACGTTATAACTTTAAAGTCTTATTGGAAAATTTCTATATTGTCAGACTCAAACTTTGTGACCTACAATTCCAGCGTATACAACTATGATTGAAGCGCTGACAAGATTCTTCGGGTCGACTGAAATTCTCGGGGATCATATGGAAGCTTTGCAGTTTTTATTTTTTTGAATGTAAAGTTTGCCAAAAACAACCTTGTTTTGTTTTACATTTACTGTGAAGTACAAAATTAATGAATACTTCTACAGTAATCAGCACTGACTGTATATAGAAAGTTTATCATTTGATAAACTACAAGTGTAAACAGTATCCGAAAAAATTGGGAAATATTTATTATAGTAGTGATAATAATAATAATAATTTGTTCCTCGGGTTCTTATTGGAATATAGGGCTTCAGTAGCAAATAGCAATTTCATTCCCTTTCTCTGCAGCTTTTTCAACCTGACTCCATGACTCCCCAGAAGCTTCCATTTCTTCCTAACACCATCTCCATGTCACCCTCGGCTCATACACTCAACTCATCCTTTCCCATTTCGCTTCCGATCAAGCGACCGGCCTCGCACGTCATGTCCACAAACCGTACTCTCAGTCTATGTCCTATCCAATACAATCCAATTCAATCCATCTCCACTTTCTTCTTCTGCATATTTGTTGGGCGATAGATTCTTCGTCACTCGGTTCGATGTAGGATCAGCCACAGTTGTTCATCCCTACTTATCCTTACTATTCTGGCCATCTCATCTCCATCTTCAGTATTCTGTGAGCATAGGTGCCAAGTCTTCATGCATGTATTTGGTTTGCTGGAAACGCTCTTCATAACGCGCCAAGTCTCTGAACCATCACATGGAAGCACTCACTTGACTGACATCACTGTTCAAAATCCAGATGTTCTTCACGCTTTATGCTAACTTCACTGCACTGCATTGCACTGCACTGCAGTAGATCTCCACACCAGCTTCAAATCCATGAAGACCCATCTTACAGTCTCTCCCATCCTACCTTTCACATACTCATCTATGCCACCACTCCCTGTACTTAAAACAATGCTGTCTTCCCTAGGTAGGTGAAAGACACAACTTCATTTACATTCCTCCCATCCATCGTGATTGGTGCTTGTTGCTGTTGTTGTTGTTGTTCGTTGGCTATCTCCATCACCTCCGTCTCCCCAACCTCCACCTGAAGGAAGTCCCGTATTCCTTCGCTGACTCCCTACGCCTCTCCTGCCAAATTGTTGGTTTTCGCCTGTAGATCTTCCAGTTTGTGCGATATAAGACACTAGACATAAATCATCATCGTTGGCGAAATCAAAATCCAGACAGCGTATGTCCCTATTCTCATCCCTCACAATTGTTTGTTGCATGATACAGTTCAGTCCACCACAATCAGGAAGGTCATCGGTGATGATAGTAGGCAACCTTGTCTCACTCCTATCCCGTCTTCACTTCAAAGGCATCACTGATCTTTCGATTGTCAATCACTTGGCATGTAGCATTCTCACATAGCATTTAGTCGTTGAATGAGGTTGATAAACGTTTGTGGGACAAATATTTATTTCACAATGACCTAAATTCACTTATTCTAGTGGAATATACTTAAAGTAAAAATGACTAACGAACAAAAGGTAAAAGCAGATGTGAAAAAGGCGACATACTTCATAATCCTTCAGCAATTTGCTACTAGCTAGTTGGTTTGCTTTAACAGCAATCTGAATGCCTTGGTGTAGAAATTCAGCTACCGCAATGAAATCTTTTTCAATAAAACCACGTGAAGTTAATGCAGCACTTCCAAGTCGCAAGCCACCAGGTCTATAAGGCAGAAGTAAAAAAATAGGCAAAGACGTTTGGCACATCAATATAAAACCGAATTGATTTGTGAACATGAACTTATCTTCAGAGTTATTGTTAGGTAAAACATACCTACTAGACAATGTACAAATTACGTGGGTTTGAGTACAGTTTCTTTTCAATCTTGAAGGACTAACTTAACAAGCTGTGGCTAGTATTTTGTTAAGGTTCATGATTCCCACATAGTGCCCAGTCATCAAACTCAACATATCCTGAAAGTCAAATATATCGTCATTTTATGTGATAAACATTATTACAGAGCTACTCAATTAAAATTTCATATTTGACACTTTCTACAGATAAAGAATCACCTCATGATTCAATTTAATTGAAGAATAAAAATCACGCATATAAAATGTTTCAATTCATGACAAAACAACAAGTTATCAAATATACTCATTAGAATATGAAAGAACAACAAGTAGTTTAGCGAAGTCTCTTTTCAAAGATGTACAATCGTAAATGTATACATTTTACTACAGTTAAAAACGATTTATTAAACATGGCAACACAAATACTTTCAATTTAGAAATAGTATTCATCATGAACTGACATCAGTTGGGGGAAACCATTGAAAATCTGGTGTCAGTCCATGATGAATACTATTTCTAAATTAAAAAAAATCCCCATTCATCTCTAAAATACAAATACTTTCATTATATATGAGCTGTCATTAAAATTTTAAAAAACAACAACTGTGATGAGTAGTAAATAGTAATTAAAATCTGACTGGAGATGTATAAAGAATAATGAGTCTCGTGATATAATGAATAGTTCCAATACAGAGGATAAGAGGATATTTCAAAGACTGAAAACTAAGACTGTGACAGGAGAAAGGGTTGAACAATCTTTTTTGGCGTACGTCATTCAGGTTTCTCCATATGAATAGCAAGAGCTTCGGAGATGTAGAGAATACGAAGAAGATTTATCATCACTTTATAGATGACTTTGAACGAGGAGGTTTTTGAGATAGGGTGATTTGTGTCTAATTACAGTGTTGTGGTTACTGCTGATCAGAATGGATATAAGTAGTATATGCTGAGAGGGCGGCAGAAATCATAGGCAACTACCAGCAATGAGTAAGGATTCTACCCAGAGAAACGCATGAGACAACGCTGGCGTATTCACACAGCAAATCAAGATAGAAGCAGAAGAGGAAATGAAGCACATTATGCCAGTGACTGTCTTAGTGCAAGGTGTACCATATTTGATGACTACTGTACAATATGTCAATAATAAACATCCCTTCTTTCGTCTCTGCCTTCTCATTTTCTTCAGCAGCACTCTTTATCGCCCTATTATTACCTCTTTGTAGCCACGCGGGATAGTGCTCTTGAACCCTCTTAGATAACAGTTGCATTGAACGACCTATATGCCTGGCTCCACAAGATCAGGTGAATTGATATGTGTTCTAAGGAATATTCTGATTGAAAACGGATTCCTACCACGCCTCATAGACAAACACATCAAACCTAAACCTCACAAACAGAACCTTAACACCATATCAAAAAAGACACTTTATACGGATCTAAACCTTAAAGAGGACTATATCTCTGACGCTAAAAAGGAGGATATCAAACACTCTAAGGAGAGCGTTCTTTGTATCAACACCGAAACTAGTATCCTCTTGTCGCCCAACGATTTCTTACAACTCAAAGGAAAAACTTTCACATCTGACCACTTTTTAATGTGTATATATCAAAGAGACACTATCTCTTAATAACTGCCCTCCGGAATTTATTCAGAAGTTTATAAGGACTGACATGAGGAGTGGTACTGTCAGTGGAGATTGCAACATGCCTAAGAGGGAATTCAAATCCTCCGTAGTGTTGCCGTATAAAGAAAGTACATCAGAAAATTCCTAATAATGCTGGGATTAGGGTGGCATTTAAACCCACAAACTCGCTCAGAGAGAAACTTCAGAGGTAAAAAAAAACCCAGGAGAGTCAATTAGGAAAAGTAACCTAATCTAACAAATGTCATGTGATGATTGTGAGGTCAAGTATCTAGGTCAAAGCAACCGATCTGGGTCAGTCAGAATAGCAGAGCACAAAAACTTAGTGAAACATATCAAGAATAGTAGACCCTCCTAAGACAGGTAATTTAGAGAAAAACTCGGTTATTGCTCTTCATGCACTAACTTATCAGTACACTATAGGGGGGGGGGGGAAAGGGTGACAATTCTGAAATCCAGTGTAGAGTTTAGGTAGAGGGAGCAGTTGATCACAGAAATTTGTTTATTGAATCAACACCTAACACATAAAATAGTAATGAATGACTCATCACAATATTGCAAATATCTGGAAAATCTAATATGGAATTAATCCTAGTTAAGTTAAACTTCGCCCACTGAGATAGACTTCGGCACAGCATGCGCTATGTACATCCAACTCACCCCTGTCGATACAAGTTCGCAACCTTATCAATTGACTTGTCTTTCTTCCTGAGCATTCTACGTCAATGTGCTTCCACATGTAAGCAATGCTACGACGACAACTATAGTCTAAACCTCCTGATATACCCTACTTGCAACCACCACGTCTCAGTTATGCAGTATGCAACAGTGGACTGTTCTGCAGCTTTCATAAAATTCGATGAAATTACTACTGAAATAGGAAATGTCGATATGTGCTTCGAGAAATTGACCATTGAAATGTGATAAAATATCAATGAAAACACTCTGAATACTTTTTATTCCGTACCGAAGTGCACTAACATCTCCAGGGCATGTGTTCTTGTTCACAGCAATACGAGCTAACTCCATGATTTTCTCCGCTCGTGCACCATCTATTTTCATTGGACGAAGATCTAATAGGCATAAATGTGTATCGCTGCCTCCAGTAACAAGCTGTATACAAAATGTATAGTAAAAAAATACTTTTAGAAAAAATAATGAACACATAAAGAAGTGGGCTGTGAATAATTCATTCATAATCCTACAATATAGATTTTTATTGTTTTTATTCAGTAAAATGAGACAGAAAATACAATCTGTTGACAGGTCCCAGTTTTGCATAAAACATTGTTATTGATCTGAACACTTTATAACTTGTCATTTTCACACTATTCTTTACAGTATGACTAGTAGTTCATTTTCTACGCAGCAATTGCAATATAATTCGCCGATTGGTTAATCCTTAGTCTTACTATGTCAATATCTCAATTTGCGGACAAGGTCACATCTCATGTGTAGACATACTCATTGTTTTTAGGTTAATTGATTATTATACTCAGAGGAATAAACTCTCATCATCCAGCTTCGGTATTCTTCTCTATTTCGTGCCGTGTTGCAGTCGGTGGCTCTTGTGTACGCAGCTAACTATCAGTTAAGCGTACGTATTATATCCGCTTCGGAATATATAACACAATCATAATGTAAATCACTAATATAATAAAGAACGCATAGTTAACACTGTACTTGAAGACGACGAGATGCATGGAATGAAGTTGATTCTATGTTTCAATCAATTGCTCATAGTTGATACATAACTTGATAGAGAATGTCATACACTGTTAGACATATACATCTGCTATTATGGGACTAAGATATTATCTTATCAATCTCATTCAACAACTATATGAAGACACCATATGCCAAGTGATCCACAATGGAAGGCTCAGCTCAGTGATGCCTTTGCAGTGAAGACAGGAGTGAAACAAGGTTGCCTACTATCACCGATCATCTTCCACATTGTAGTGGACTGGATCATGCAGCAAACAATGAGGAACGAGAATAGAGGGATACGCTAGCTGGACCGATGAAAAGACCCCAGAAGAAGATTTGGATTTCGCGGATGACTTGTGTCTAATGTCGCACAAACTTGAAGATCTACAGGCGAAAACTAACAAGTTAACAGAAGACGAGGAGCAGCAAAAACGGGACTTTAAGTGGACGTAGAGAAGACAGAGGTGAAGAAGATACCCAACCAACCCCACCAACAACAACAAGCTCCAATCACCATCAACAGGAGAAACTTAAAGGAAGTAGCTTCTTTCACCTATCTAGGCAACACTGTTTCAACTACAGGCGGCACAGACGAGGACGTCAAAGCTAGGATCGGAAACATAGCAAGACAGGTGTTCATTAACCTGAAATCAGTGTGGAGAACTTCTGCACTCCGCATAAAGCGTGGACAACATCCGGATTTTTAACACCCATTCAGTCAAGTCAGTGCCTCTATATGATGATTCAGAAACTTGGCGTGTCACGAAAAGCATTTCCAACAAACTACACATACTCATCAACAACTGACTACGCTGGCTCGTTACTGAAGATCAGATGGCCAGAATAATAAGAATAAGCAACAAGGAACTCATTGTGGCTGGCAATGAACCAACCAAGAAACTATCGCTCAACAAATATGCAGAAGGAAGTGGAGATGGATTGGGCATGCACTGAGAAGACCATTCATGCGCCAGGCCCTCGAGTGGGACCCAGATGGGAAACGACGAGTTGTGTGTCCGAGGGTGACATGAGGGAGATTATGTGAGGAAGAAATGGGAGCTTGTGGGCAGTCGTGGAGTCAGGTTGTGAAAAGACTGCAGAGAACAGAGTGGAATGGAGACGTGCTACTGAAGCCCCATGGTTCCATTAGAAACCCAAGGAACAAATAAAAAATAAATTATGGGACTAAGATATAGTTGACAAACTACATATTTGAGTAATATGAATAACTTTATATGCTACTGATGGTGCACAACTGTTATGTTACCGAAAACAAGAAATGTAGTTATTCGAGAATTCTACAGATTACGAGAATTTACTATTGACCAGAAAGTGCTGACAACATACATACATACATATATTCCAGTAATATTATATAAAACAATTTCATATCATCACTAAACTATTTATCCTATGTGATATGATTGCTAAGGTATGTTTTTTTTATTATCTTGATTTTAAAAGCAAAAGAGGTCATTTCAATTTAGATATCGAAAAAGTGCTATGAATAACCGAAGATCCAAATTCATACGAGGGGTGGTGAATTCGATATATCCATCGCACAAGAAGTGGTTATCGTGATTCAGTGGCCTAGTGGGGACAACATAGTCCACTGAGAGGTAAGTACATCCAGTTGACAGATCCTAAAGAGGATAAAACGCTCATCCTGGATACTAAGAGTAGATTAAGAAATGGGTGAAAGTTGACTCAAACAAAGAAGACATGTGAGTGAGTACTTTGGAAAAAAAAGATGACTTGATAGGTGAATAAAGATTAATTAAATGTCATGATAATGTGTACACAAAATTACCTCATAACCAAAATCTTTTAGTGATGTACATAGTTGTTGCATATTTTTAATCACTTGTTGTTGATAAGATTTAAATTCTGGTGATGCTGCTTCTTTTAAAGCAACAGCCATAGCTGCAATAGCATTATTATGAGGACCACCTTGTAATCCTGGGAAGACGGACTCGTTAATACGGCGTTCAAAATCTGTCGATACCGGGCCACCATTGCATCCATTCTATCAATATAAGTGTAAAAACAAGTAAAAATTAAAATATATCATAACACAATTCTAAATTTTGAAAAGTTTCCATTACCGATAACTACTGAAGACCTAGTTTACTAAGTAATCTCCATAATTGAGTTAACACTCAATTGTTTGCATCAATCAGCTTAACGAAATGTATAATGAACTTTATAATGCTGACTATCTGAGATAGCAGTGGTTTGGTAGACCAGTATTTATACTGGGTGGTAACTGAAGACCTCGTAACTCAGTTGGTAGAGCATCAGGTCGGAAACCCGGTGGTCGCTGGTTGAAATCCGACTTAAGTCCAAATTTTCATTTCATCTTCAATCACCACCCAGTATATTAGACTCTTTTACGTAGGTCACGGTGTCGTTACTATAGAAAAATTAAGAAATTAAACTGCATATCGCTTAAAAGAAAACAACCAAACATTAAAACCGGTGAAAATTTGCATTTACTTGGTACTCAGGGGATTGAAATAGCTTATCAATAGCTACTTGTGTTAATATATGGCTTCAAATGAGCTTTCAGTTCGAGACCAGCTCTGCTTACATCGAATTGTGCAGTTATGTTGCATTAGAAGTACAATACTAGGTTGGTTTGAACCATTATCGCAGTTTCTTGGTAAATAAACTTCATGGAAATCCATTGAGAAGTAAATAGTCTTTCCATAGTTCAGGTACATATTAATTTAGGTAATAGAATGAAATACAATAGGACCTAGTGCATACTTTCGTGTAAAGTAATTTATTCAGTTGATGAACCAGGAGACTTGTTTTGTCTGGAAAGGTCTGGGTTACACGTCATACATGCCCAAAGATGGATAATTTTATCCAGTGAAGTTGAATAGGCAAAGAAAGATGGTGGAAAATTAGAGTGAGACAGACAAAATCAACGTAGAACCTTCCAAACAAGTGCATCGGCTCAAGTTGCCACAATTCATAAAAGTACACAAAGAACAGATGGATAAGAAAGCAGTGACACCAAAGTAGATAAAGTAGTGTGAGAGGATAAAGGTTAGTGTGAATATTCAAGCTTGAGAAGACATCACAGAGTGAATACATCTGGGTCACTGTAACCGATTTCCAGCCATGTCAACAAGAGTCCTCAACCACTGATTCCCATCTTTTCAGGTCCCTAGTCAGGCAGTCTACATCACCCCAGACCAACAGTTATGGACTTTATGAGCTAGTGCCAGGCGTTGGTTTGGTTACCCTGAACCCTTTTCCAACCTAATCCAACTTCCTCTAGCATCGCACATGCATGTAGGTGGTGGCTCAGCATGTGCAGTACGTGTTCAAGCCATCTCAGTTGATTAGAGTTTACAAGTTCATCAATCGACTTGCCTGTCTTGCCGAGTACCTTTCGTGTGACCTTAACTTCCAGCGAACGCGAGCAATGCTACGAAATTAGCGAGATATAATTTTTAAAAATTAAGTAGCTAGTCTTTAATTAAGACATCGAATAGAAAAGAAGTATAAACTAAGGGAAAGCACACTAGAGTTAAAGGCTATTTGTTGTGAATTGTTAAGAATTCTCCGTAAAACAATATGATAGACGAAGAGTTAACCATAAATGGAAGTTTCACGTTTTATTATACGCATCACTCTTCATCTTTTACTATTCTCAGGTCTATGCTGAGTAGTTAATTAGGCAATATCATTGAAAATATATTATGAAGTGAAATGTTGAAAACGATATCATTACACCTGATCCTATCATGAAGAAATGGCGTTGCGAAGATTCATATCACCGTATTCGGTATTGAGGCTAATTAATATACCTATGCCACTAACTTAAAAAAAGAAAAATTGCCAACGAAAGTATTTTGTCGTCACGGAATGACATCGCTTACTACTACCGAAATGATATTTTGAAGTTTCCGCCGCATACTATTCACATACTGTTGCAATCACTCGTACCCAGCTCTTCAAAACAGTAGCACTAAGATCGACAATAAGTGGGAACATACTGTAAATCTTAACCAATGTAAATCCATATATATTCTTCTTAAAAATTTCCTAAACTAATCTTTGTTTCGATTTGCGGTGATATATATATATATATATATATATATATATATATATATATATATATATATATTCTCCGATGCAATACTATTAACCATACATGATATTCAGCCGACACCAGAAAAAGAAGACAACACTGCGATTATAACTGGAAGTCTCATCATGTATTTACCTTTTTAAGGACTTAGATCAAGGAAAACAAAATAAGATATTAAAAACATAAACTGAACCGATCAGCGTCTAGTATGTTAAACCGCGGTAAAAAATAACGTTGCACTGAGTAGAAAGGGCGAGAAAATAAGGTTTAAATTTAACAGTGAAAATATATTTATTATAACTTAGTTTTTTAGGGATCAGACATCCCTAACAATCCTAGTATATCTCAATGAATTCAGTAAATATCACTAATCATAATAAGACACCATGAAACTCGCCAATGAATGCTCTTCAAGGAGAAAAATTGTAAGCGGTAAAGATTACTTACCAAGGATGGATAGATATATTAGAAAAGACATAAATAGAATAAGCAATTCGTTCTACTAAAACCTGTGAATACACGAAGTGACTATATATATATATATATATATATATATATATATATATATATATATATATATATATATATATATATATATATATATATATATATATATATATATATATATATATACTGAGCTTAGTGACGAATCAAATAGATAAAAGAGAATATTTTCACCAGAGTACTACCTACGACTATTTTACACACACTGAGTAACTGTTGGATACTGGAGCATGGAAGTCAAGTTACAGAAAAAAAGATTAGGTTTCTGTTATTACTTACCATGACACCACTTTTCTGAGATCTAGCTAATTTACGATAAAATATCATTGCAGCTCTAGGACCACGAAGTGTTTTATGAGTTGTAGTCATTACAACATCACAATAGTTGAAAGGATTAGGGTGAACTCCAGCTGCTACCAAACCACTAATATGTGACTAAAAATGAACAAATACACATGATAATACAGTAACAGGACAATTACACAACTCAATGAATCAATAATGAAACATAAATCTAACAACGGAAATAACTATAGTCTGAATAGGATGTAATGAATATTAAAGAGAAAAAAAAAATTGGTAGACTGTGAACTTGTACAATCAAAATCAATACCATATCAATGATTTACACTTAAGCAATTTAAAAATTGATAAAGAGTGGTTATTGATAATTTATGAGTAACTTTAATACAATGTAACTTAATTTTTTTTTTTACAGGCTATGTCATACACTTATTGTGAGAACGATTATGGTACCAATGAACTGTTAAGACCAAAGTAGGTGACGCATATCTTACTTTTAATACTAACCTAACAACTATCCTTGCTACAATTATGTCTATTACTGACCAGAGTACTGAATTCCATTTTTAGTGATGTATTAGATTTGTTGAAAAGCAAGACAGGCGTTCATTAACCTGAAATCAGTGTGGAGATCTACTCCACTCCACTCAGCATAAAGTGAGAACAACATCCGGATTTTTAACATCCATTCAGTCAAGTCAGTGCTCCTATATGATGGTTCAGAAACTTGGCGTGTCACGAAATGCATTTCCAACAAACTACACACATTCATCAACAACTGACTACACTGGCTCGTTACTGAAGATCAGATGGCCACAAAGAATAAGTAATAAGGAACTCTAGGAACGAACCAACCAGGAACCTATCACGCAACAAATATGCAGAAAAAAGTGGAGATGGATTGGGCATACACTGAGAAGACCGACTGAGGACATCATGCGCTAGGCACTCGAGTGGGACCCAGACGGGAAACGACGAGTTGGGCGTCCGAGATGAGAGAGACATGGAAAAGATCGTGCGACGGAGAAATGAGAGCTTGTGGGCAGTCGTGGAGTCAGGTTGTGAAAAGACTGCAGAGAACAGAGTGCACTGGAGTCGTACTACTGAAGCCCTATGGTTCCACTAGGAACCCAAGGGACAAATAATAATAATAAATTAGATTTACCACACACAATAACAGTATAATTTACTGTTGTCATATCAAAATAAGTACCCAACTTTGAGACAGTTTATATAGTCCTAATTTCCTTGCCCCCTTTGTGACATGGACAGTAAGACTTCAAGGATTTCCACCCCTTCCCACCCTATTGTTTGGTTGTGTGCAAACGCATGCATAGCTATAGCTGAGCTTTTTTCTAAATTCCTTAACCTTAGTAGGATCTATCAATTTTAACATAGCTGGGTTTTGTGTTCGAATAGCCTCATTTATCCTGGTCGACTACTTTGACCTATGTATTTCACCTCGCAATCGTTGCAAGGCAGTTGGCACACTAAGTTATTTTGCTTAACTGCATCAATAGGTTCTTTCAATCTACAAAGCTTATTTCTAAGCCAGTTTGTAGGTCTAAATGCCACTCTAATCCTAGCCTCATAGTACGTAGTGTAGGGTAATACTGTAGAAGTTTTGAACTCTCTCTTCACAATATTGCTACTACTAACATTAACACCTGTGTTACTAATACCTTTCCTACGGTTCCTAAGGAACTTATCCATTAATTTGGGAGGGTAATTGTTGATGCGTAAGATGTCTTTAATGTATCTGGTTTCTTGTTTTAGACCCATTTTACTAGTAAGTTTTTGGCCCTGTTACAATAGGATCAGAGCGAAAAATCCCTAAAACTAACATAGCAGGGTAGAAGGAAAGATTGGTAACTGAATCTAGGCTCATCGAATCAACACCTAATACAATACATGCAACGGGAATGACTCAGCATCTGTTCCAGATATATGCAAAATCTTACTGTCCATATCACAAAGAGGGCGAGGAAATTAGGACTATGTAAGCTCTGTCTCAAAGTTGGGTACTTATCTTGAATATGACTATGGACAATAAATTATGTCTGAAACGTAATCCAGTAAACAATACTGTTGCACTGTGTGATAAATCTAATAAGTCAATAAAAATGGAACTACATTCTCTTATATTAAAGAGTACTGAATCACGAGTGATGTCAATGAACATATTTGAACGATGTGACCAATTACTTCTTATTCGTTTTAAAAGTGAGTTAGACATGAATAACTTCGATTATTTCAATGGATTAGTCTTGGTCTTTTGACCTTTTGAATACTCATTTAGTGAATAGAATAATTTCTCCCAAAACTTACACAGTATAAATGCTAAAGAGGAAACACAGACGACAAAACCAAGCCATTTAAAAGAGATTATGTATGGGTTGTTCAAATAAGGGATAAATTTACTTCCTATTACCTCCGTCAACATATAAGATTATCTGAATAACGAAAGTCTATGATTATCAAACTCGCTTGTATCAAAGGACAGACTGACGCTTCTATGGCCATAGTTCTCAACTCCCTTTATGGTCGTACATCCAGGTTTCTACGTGTACAGATTCGGTTTTACATAAAATATAGTTACAGCCACACATAGACCTACCTATACTTTGACCATAAGAAATGGACCGGGACTACTAAACCAACTACAATGGTTGTATGTAGCAAATGTAATGTTGGTTAGATTAACCATAAGATTATTAACAGCTTAGCGACCAAAAAGCAACGTAGCCATTCTAACAACACAGTTAAGGAGTGGTGAGAAATTGTAAAATATGAGAACCTTATATTGAACACCGTTGCTCATATGCATTCTATATCCAAGATAAGTTGGTCTTCAAATTCTGTTGCTTCTTTATTTGCCTTCTTTACTCATGTTTTCTCTGTCAGTACCTCAACCGATTGGATAACAACGTTATTTGCTATTCTCAGGGACATCATGGTTTTGTACGTTTACATGTGTTCAAAGAAAAATCATAATCAATATTCAATAATATGAGATTATATGAACTACTTGTGCATAGAAATAATCACTTTTGCCTGGAAGACAATTAAAGATAGTTGAAATTCAGAAAAGTATTTACCATGTCACCAAGTAATACAGCTGAAACTGAATCAGCAATTTGTCGAAATCGTTCATAGTCTAAATGACGAGGATATGATGAGGTCCCGGCAATGATTAATTTAGGACGAACTGCTCGAGCGACAATTTCTAATCGATCATAATCTATCAATCCAGAATTAGGATCAACTTTATACGGAATAGACTCGAAGAACAACGAAGAACCAGAAATCTGACAATGAAAAAAAACCAAAAAAGCTTTGTGAAATTGGTTAGTGACAGACTGTAATTGTAATTTAGACAAACAGTCCTTTATGCGTTATATAGTTTATGAACAAAAAAACATGAAAACCCTCTCACATTACGAAGTTGTCATGATTTTTTTATATTTTTCCTTTGGGTTTCTAATGGAATATAGGGCTTCAGTAGCAAATAGCAATTTCATTCCCTTTCTCTGCAGCCTTTTCAACCTGACTCCATGACTCACCAGAAGCTTCCATTTCTTCCTAACACCATCTCCATGTCACCCTCGGCTCATACACTCAACTCATCCTTTCCCATTTCGCTTCCACTCAAGCGACCGGCCTCGCATGTCATGTCCACAAACCGTCTTCTCAGTCTATGTCCTATCCAATACAATCCAATTCAATCCATCTCCACTTTCTTCTTCTGCATATTTGTTGGGCGATAGGTTCTTCGTCACTTGGTTCGTTCTGGGACCAGCCACAGTTGTTCATCCCTACCTATTCTTATTATTCTGGCCATCTCATCTCCATCTTCAGTATTCAGTGAGCATATGTGCCAAGTCTGTGAACCATCACATGGAAGCACTCACTTGACTGACATCACTGTTCAAAATCCAGATGTTCTTCACGCTTTATGCTAGCTTCACTGCACTGCATTGCACTGCACTGCAGTAGATCTCCACACCAGCTTCAAATCCATGAAGACCCATCTTACAGTCTCTCCCATCTTACCTTTCACATACTCATCTATGCCACCACTCCCTGTACTTAAAACAATGCTGTCTTCCCTAGGTAGGTGAAAGACACAACTTCATTTACATTCCTCCCATCCATCGTGATTGGTGCTTGTTGCTATTGCTGTTGTTGTTCGTTGGCTATCTCCATCACCTCCGTCTCCCCAACCTCCACCTGAAGGAAGTCCCGTATTCCTTCGCTGACTCCCTACGCCTCTTCTGCAAAACTGTTGGTTTTCGCCTGTAGATCTTCCAGTTTGTGCGATATAAGACACTAGACATAAGTCATCATCGTTGGCGAAATCAAAATCCAGACAGCGTATGTCCCTATTCTCGTCCCTCACAGTTGTCTGTCGCATGATACAGTTCAGTCCACCACAATCAGGAAGGTCATCGGTGATGATAGTAGGCAACCTTTTCTCACTCCTGTTCCGTCTTCACTTCAAAGGCATCACTGGTCTTTCCATTGTCAATCACTTGGCATGTAGCATCCTCACATAGCATATAGCTGTTGAATGGGGTTGACGAAGGTTTGTAGCACCGTAGTATTGAAGCAGCTGCCAAATTACACTGTTAAACGCTGGCCTTTTCAAAATCGAAGAAATTGAGGTAAAGAGTTGACTGCCATTCTATGCTTTGTTCTATGATGATCAGAAAGTTGTACGAACCATTTTTAGGTGTTAGTAAAGAACGGTGATATTAATCTCCTAAAGCTTAGTAAAATGCATTAGTGTCTGATACAAACTTTATTTCTTCCACTAAGAATGTCGATAGTAGTACACAGCAGGCAGGTATAGCTAATTGTGCTCACATAATAATGAAGGTGGATTGTAATTACCCAAAAGAAAACAGCACATTTTTTGGCAACCGACTAGTCATTTTTCTGCAATCGATCAAGTGATAGTTATGGTTGAACATGATCTAGTCAAATGAATAGTCTTTGAGGAAATTTCACCAACCTTTCTAACTACAAAACGACAACTGGACTTTATCTGTCACTTAGTTACAATCAAGAAAGATCACACAACAAACACATAGTTAGATGAGCTTTGGATTTGTTTCACGTGTGAACATATTTCAACTGTGTCAATGAAAACAAAAATTGCTGCAAGTGGCTTTGAAAAACGTTGCGTTAATAAAATTCGTGTCACTGCAAAAATCTCGCAACTTTCTGTCTTTCGTCGGAGCATTCTGCCAGATGGCGAGACCAATGATATATGTGAGTCTGCCAGGCAACACAGCAAACCGAATTTGCGCAAGGACCGGGATGCCTCGTAGTCAGGACACGCGAGAGAATTGGAAGGGGTAGCTACATTCGCCAACGATCGGGAGCTGTTTCAATTCATCCTAACCATAGGTAGCAGGAAATTTAAATTAAATGAGACATTTTGTGAGGTAGATAGTACGCTAATCAAGGAACCCTGTAAATGTCTGAGAGGTTGGACGGAGTAGCATTCCTCGCGTGTGGTGGAATCATTGCGTGAGTAATGATGTCTTCTAAAGCTTAAATATTTTGAGTAACATTCATCTCTGAATTCGTTCTCTTTTTACTCACTTTCGTCTAATTTGATATTCACCATCATCATCATCAATATAAATATAAGACCAGGCATTACCGCGTAACGGTCCAAGTTGCCACAGCTCATATCAGTACATCAAGTAAAAAGGCAGTGAGGTGCAAAATGAAGATAAGAAAATTCAGTCAGAAGAAACACAATGTACGAAAAGAGAGAAAGGGAGATTGAGAAGATGGTGAGATTTGGTATAGCATCGTTAAGATGAGAATAACGTGTGTATACATCTGCACCACTGACTTCGGTTCTCAGACATGTCATCACCTAGAGTCTGTCTCCAACCACTGGTTCCTCTTGTCCCGCCAACCACAACCACCCAGTCTACATCGCCCCACATGGCTCAAACCAACAGTCACAGACTTCATACATTGGTGCCATGTTTTAGTCTGGCCACCTTGAACCTTTCTTCACCCTGAACCTACTTCGGCCAACATTGTGTGACGACGAGGTAATCGTTACTCACGCGGTGACACCACGGAATACGCCTACACTACGAAGGCAACGGTGGTCAAACACCTGAAGCATTCTCATGTCTTCTACCTTCAACGGCCATGTTTCACAGTCATGCAGGAGAACAGAGGGGACTGCTGTGCAGGTGCAGTACACGCGACCCTTAGTCGACAATCGGGTATCCCAGCGGCGCAATAGGTGGCGTAAGTTGGCGAAACCCAGCCGAGCCCTTTGTATCCGTGCAGACATTTCATCGGCCACTGAGCCACCAGGGTAGGGCTGATTCTACTTCCCAGGCAAGTAGTGAAGTGGTCGACACACTCAATCACTACGCTCTTTATTGTTAGTCGCGGTGGGGCACCGTCGAAGACCAATCGTGGGGCAACAATTTGCATTTGGGTGGTGAGGAACGCATCCCAAACATTCTCAAATTACCACTCAGTGTCCAGAAGACTCTGCATCATGTCAACGTCCTCACCTAACAGGACTATGTCATCTGCATATTCTAGGTCTAACGAAAACTTTCCACCGATTAGGTCAACCTCTGTGTGATCAGGTGACGAGAGAGAGAATATCAGTGATAAAATTGAATAAGAATAGAGACAGTGGGCACCCCTGACAGACACCACTCGATGAGCATAGCTCCCTGAACATCTCACCATAGGCTCTAACACACCCACAAGTGTTCGAGTAGAGAGCCTTCAATTAGGTGATGTACTTACTCGGCACGTCTTTCAGTGAGAGACATCGCCATAAGACATCTCGATCAACGGAGTCAAATACCACCTTCAGATCGAGAAATACAGCTATTGTCGAGCGTCAGTAAGCGTGCTTGTGTTTTCCAGAAGCTGACGTAGAGTGAATATTTGATGGATGAACCTGCGGTCGGGTGTAAAGCCTGTCTGGTTTTCTCGTGTTTTCTGTTCCCGAGCTTCACTGAGGTGTTGAAGAATTAGAGAATTTAGGATCTTGGACACTATGATATTAGTCGTTTTCTATCCACTTGTTGTTTCCCTGTTACTGTGAAGTGTGGCAACTTGAAACGATGCACTTCTGTATGAGGTTCTACGGAAAACTGAGTTAAACAAGATAGTGTTTTCATTTCCAGAGCAGTTTTTCAGCCCAAAACAAACCGCCTAAAAAGTCCTCATTTAAATGAATTGAAGGTGTATGCATAAAATATAAAAAGGAGGATGTCGAGCTATCAAATATAATACGAGTACAGAATATATACCTCTTAAATTGTATTAGTACATATAAGGGTTGTGAAGCACTAAGACAAATCTAATGTTGTCATTCGAAAAAGGTCCACATCACACCGATGAATAAGGGTGAACCAAACAAATTTATTTTAAAGGCTCATAACAACAGTTAGCTAGACACACTACGATACCAGAGTAATAGTGAAGGAAACGAGAAGACAGAGACGAAGGAAGGAATGTTCAATTACTAACATATGGTACAGTAGTCGTTAAATATGGTACAGTCATAATGTGCTTCATTTTCTCTTCTGCTTCGATCTTGATTTGCTGTGTGAATACGCCAGCGTTGTCTCTTGCGTTTCTCTGGGCGGAATCCTTACTCATTGCTGGTAGTTGCCTATGATTTCTGCCGCCCTCTCAACACATACTACTTATACCCATCCTAATCAGCAACTCCCACTACAGTAATAGCGGAGTAAATACAGTTCTTGGTTTAAAACTAGTCTGAACAAATAAGCGACGGCAACATGCCACATTCTATCGATGTGGAGCTGTGGTTCATTGGTTTAGACAGTTAACATTGAAGCAGCGGGCCGCAAGCTCGAGCCTCGCTCCACTTAACAGGGTTTGCAAAGCTAGTTAGTATCATTAACCTTCATACACTAGGTGTGGCTCATCACCTACTGCTGAGAAAGTTTTGATTTTTTTTGAAATTCTATCATCAGTTTACGTGTACTTTTGGATACACATACATGAACAGGAATGATGGATATATAAGGTTGAGTGTGATTGAGTGTGTTGCCTTCGTAGTATAGGACGTATTCCGTGGTGTCACCATGTGAGTAATGCAGAAGTTAGGTGTAGAGTTTTAGGGAGAAGAGGTAAGTCAGTCAACGAGGTTGTGAACCTTCATCGACTGAGATGGTTGGGACACATACTACGTATGCCTAGTCACCGATTGCCTCGTCACACAATGTTGGCTGAGGTGGGTTCAGGCTGGAAAAAGGCCCGAGGTGGCCAGACTAAAACATGGCACCAATGTATGAAGTCTCTGACTGTTGGTTTAAGCCATGTAGGACGATGCAGACTAGGTGGTTGGGGTCCACGGGACAGAAGGAACCAGTGGTTGGAGACCCTAGGTGATATGGCTCAGAACCGAAGTCAGTGGCGCAGATGTATACACACATTATCCTCATCCTAACAACGCTATACCGAATCTCACCATTTTGTTACTCCTCTTTCCTTTCTTCTCGTACTTTATATTTCTTTTGACTGCATTCACTTATCTTCATCCTTCGCCTCACTACCTTTTACTTGATGTGGTGATATGAGGTGTGGCAACTCGGACCGTTACGCAGTAATGCCTGGTCCTATGTTGATAATGATGATGATGATGAGTGTGTATCTGAATGCTTTTGAAAATGAATAACTTCACATAATCCCATAAGATAAAGAGACAAACATCAATATTTATCTACAATAAAGCAAACTAGGAAGGAATTATTGGATTGAAATATATGAAAAAAGGGTACTGCAATCAATAGAAAGGATTGGGAATGAACCAAAACCGTAGCCATCAGTGAAGTATAACTCATACCATACATTCGAAAGTTACTTGCACGGGCTCCTAGTATGAGACTCCTCAGCAGTATGCATCCACAACCCAGTTTTGGACGGAACTCAGAATCTTTCAGATTTTACGACGAACGTGTTCACCATTAAGCCACTGAGTTGGTTCACAGTTTCCTACCTCTAATTATTAACAGTGAATAATTTCACAAATTGATATGTTGAATTTGGGAGTTTAAGAGGAATTTATGGTTTTTCAAGTTGATATTCATCATGGACTGATATCAGTTGGAGGAATATTGCAAGCCTGGAAGCACTGGACAGCTATTTCATCCAACTAGTAAGGGACTCTACAGCAGTGCGCACCCACGAACCCATTAGGGATTGAACCTTCGACCTTCAGGTTCCGTGGCCAGCACGTTACCATTGAGCTATTGGGTCAGAATCTAATGGGCTATATTTCAAACTCCTGTCAGTTCACGACAAAGCGCGACCGACAACCAATATCATCGTTGAGTATTTGTCCTCACGGGTTCCGGCTCATGCAAATTTACTTACAGTAACTGGGTAAAAATCAACTAACTAACTTACATAGGATTCTAGCATGTATAGTAAAAACTTTTATTATCCTATTCTTGAAGGTAGACAAATCAGCAATAAAAAATATATATCTATATCTATAATTTTAAGAAATATTATGCAGTAAGCTAGGCAAGATTACCTTTTTACCAGAAGCAGTTTGATATCCGTGTGTAAGGTGTCCACCATCTGGTAAGTCTAATCCCATGATACGACCATGAGGGCCAACTAATCCCATATATATGGCAAGATTGGCAGGTGATCCACTATAGGGTTGAACATTAACACCCCATAAGGATTCATCAAGGTCAAATAAGGTGAGTGCACGCTTCTGACACAACGTTTCCATTTTATCCACAACTTCATTACCACCATAGTATCTAAAATGTCAGTGGTAGGAAAATTATTAATGGTGTAAGCACTTTATTAAATAATTAAACAAATGAACACATACCATTCAATTATCAGCTATAAGGTCAAATAAAATTAGCATCCTTAGGTACAAATAGTGTACTTATCCCGTAAAAAGGAAAAGAATCACTTATGCTGTGTTATCAGTGATCAAATTAGTCAAATGATGTTCATTATATTGGTATTTGTATTCCTCAGTAGTTGTGGGAAAAAAATAAGGGAGGTTACGTCAACAAAAATAAAATTTCGAGGATCTTTAGTGGTTGGTTTATGAAACTGGTTTACTGTCTGAAATCTTTCAAAACACTGAAATTGTAATAACTCATATGGTGCCATACGAACCATACACTTAGTAGGAAGTATTCAAGTTATATCAGTAGGAACTTAGTGCTTCAAGTTGGAATAATTTCTTTCAAAATCGATTTGAGTGAGGCATAGAAGTGGATCAAAGAAAAAGTCAACAATCTGAGCCATAATGTTTAAAATCACTTTTCTGAACAATGTAGCCGTATTGGTTTTAATATTTCTTGAAAGGCAACCATAGGAATCAACCAATAATCATAATACTCACAAGGTACAACTGTAACAGCTAGCTCATTATGCACCATAAGCTAGACTAACAATAAATGAATGACATAAACAAAGACTATTGAGTTTTGATGATTATAAAGAGCCTTTGTCTGATTACTTACAATAATCAGCATCCTTATGAAAGTTAAAGGAGAACAAATAACCAAATAATTGACTAGTAAAACTAAAACTTTGAAAACTAATAAAAACGTAAAACACAACCATCAGAAAAACCCAAATTCAGTCAGGATAAAATGCCTTGGGAAAAGTTCAAAAAGATATATGAAATGAATTTACTTAAGTCATTAACATTTCGGAACGATATCTGCTTGTATTATCATACTGATCCAATAAGAATAGGTCACTGATGAAATAGCAAACCTCTCTCTGTCCGGTAGCATTTCGGTGTCGACGGTGTAGCAGAATAAAACCCCAGTCGAAGGATTTTATAAAGTCGTGTGTGACAGGCATCAAAACAAAATGCCCCATCGGTTACGCGGTTATAAGAAACTTATTTCTTTCCCCTTTTTTACGTATCTCGCAGAAATAACTTCCACCGTGTATGCAGTCGGGTAGTACCACCAACCACAGGCAGGCTGCTGGTAGTATACAAAAACTGACTAACCATCACCTGACTTCTTTATTTTCGCCACCTTACATTATTATTACACTTCATACAACTTTCGCACTCACCCTACAACCACGGCTGATAAACCACACCAACAAAACAGTATTCCTAGTACCCTAAAATCATGCTAATTTTGTACTAATGCTTTCAATGTCCGAACGGTGTGCCGAAATGGGACAACAGGCTTGCCTTTTGACACTCGCCAATGCCTATCCACGATCTTCCCCAATGCGCTTACTGACTGCAGTTCCGATAATACAAATGATGAATTCCACCAAAACTTGTCGACTTTCAAACAAAGAGCAAACGTTCTGACATAATCATATCGGCAGGCGACGCTGAAGTAGGGAGGCTGGGTCAGTCGGAAGGGCACCTAGGGTTACTTACGGGATCCCATAACAACGAGTTGACAACGGAAATCGTCTCTTACCACTTTGTCTTCACAATTATTTGCTTCTTATCGACACTAACTCTAAGTATAAGGACATTGTCTTACTCTGTCTGCTGACATCAAACCCAAAATAACTGCATAAATACTCACATAAATCTGAGCTGAGTTTTTTTATCGTGAAGTTTTCATCGTCTTACTAGACGACATCATCAACACTAACTTCAGTATGAAGTGAGCTGTCAATATTTCTCCATGAGTGATTTAGTGGCTTGCACTGACGATGTGGTCTGTGATTGGTTGTTTCCTTCGACTGTAGCGTCATTGACTGTATACACTTTCCTGTTGGCTGTTCCTCTACTTGACCTCTGGCCTTTCTGTCGTTTATCATTTTCCTTATTGGTTGATAGATCGGGTCTATGTCTATACATCTATTGATCGCTGACTGACTGACCTGAATGCCAAGCTTCCAGAAATTCTCTGACATTCTTTGTTTCCTCTCTCTCCCTCCAACATTTCTACATTGTCAACATTCAATTCATCTCCATAGTTGTTATCCACGTGTATTGGAATGAGTGATGAAGTCATGTGAGACGTTTAATAGTCAATTGGTGTTCATATGTACGAAGGTGGAGATGGTGACCACTTTGTTCAGTGTGGTGTTGACTACAGTTATTGCAGTTGATTTTGTGAATGATATTCGGTTTGTCTTCTTCGGTTTGTATAATAGTGTTTGGAGGGGATTTGCTGGTTTGTGCGTCACACCAATTTCAAGTGATTTCAGTAATCTTGTCATGTTTTCTGACATGTTCTTTATGTACGATAGGATGATGTGTTTGTTGATTTCTGTCGATAACTTTGTAATTGATAATGTACAGGATAGGCATCTTCTGATAAAGTTTCATGGGTGGCTGTTCTTCTTTAGGATGGACATCAAGTAATTTTCATCGTTTCTTCGTGAAGTTGTTGTGCTGCAGTATGTTCTCACTCTTTTGAATAGAGTTTGCACGCGACTGATTTTGTGTGTTGTTGGGTTGTTGCTATTGTAGTTGAGGATTTGGTCAGTGTGTGTTGGCTTCCTGTATACTTGGGTTTCCAGTTTTCCGGCATTTGTCCTACTAACTAAAACATTCAGGAATGGTAGTTGGTTGTTTGACTCCCTCTCCATTATGAATTTGATGTCATTGAAAACGTTGTTGATCAAACTGTGAGTGTTTTCTATATCATCTTTTTTAATGATGACAAAAGTGTCGTGCACATAGCGAATCCAAATTTTTGGTTTGATCACAGGTAGAATAATGGCTTCTGGTCTCTGTATCACTGCTTCTACAATCAATCCGGATATCAGTGATCTCATCGGAGTTCCTTTCATCTGTTTGTATATCTTGCCATTGAATTGGAAGTGTGTTGTCATACAGACTTGAACATTTGAGTTTTGTGCGTTCTGAAAGGTTTTTGTCTTCAATGAGCAGGAGGGACATCGTTTTCTTGGCCAATTGAGGTTCGATGGATGTGTATAGCGCTGTAACACTGAAGGATATCATTAATTCGTCGTTTTCTATGTTAATGCTTTTGATCTTTTCTAAGAAGTCCGTTGGCGACTTGATGGCCTCCTACCGATTGCTTCCAACTAACATCCATCAAAGTGCACGGAGATGGTGAGCCTCTAAGCTTGGTGGCCACATTGCAAAATGATTGACAGAATTCAATCAAGACTCTGGACTAGACAACACGAGATTGGTTGCTCTCTAGTGACCAATTAGTGTATGTATTATCAGTAAATTATTGATGAGAAGCTTACAAACAATGATTAGTTTTTATTTGGGTAATATTTCAAGCAAAATTACTGCCCGTGATCACACTAACACTTGGAATTTTTCTGATAATTATTCATACATTTAGCAATAGATATCTTGCGTGTAACCTTTCCTTATTGTTCGTTAGTTTGTTTGTTCAGTACAATGTTCCGTAAGTTTGACAGTTATGAGTCACCTTTGTTGCATATGTTCAATTAATAAATTGAACCAACTAAAAGACCCAGTTAAAAAATTGGAAAAGGACAAAATATATAGCATAAAATACAGTGTGCAGACGCACATCAAGATTGCTGAAAACCAGACTGAATGAACATTGAAGATTAATTAAAGTTCAGTACACAGAGGGACAAAGGTTAGAAATTTTGGAAAAAAGTTCACCTATAGCAACTCATGCATGAGAATACATAATATCAATTGGAACAACATTGACAACAGAATCATCCCTAAGACATGAAACAAAGGTGACTCACAACTGTCAAACATGCGGAATATTGTACTGAACAAACAAACTAATGAACAATAAGGAAAGATTATATCCAAGACATCTAATAAAGTTCCAACTGGTAGTGTGGTCAAAGGCAGTAATTCTGCTCGAAATATTACCAAAATAAAAACCTATCGTTGTGTGTAAACTTTTCATCGAAAATTTCATCTGAACACGGAGGTAGTTTTCTTTCTATCGAAACGTAGTGTAATATTTTGCCTGCTGTAAAAACAGTGGTAAAAGCAGCTGGCAATATGCATTTAAAGGTTAGCAAAAGTCAGTAGATTTCCACAAGCTCATTCAAACTCACTGACGCGAGACAAATAGGCAAAATCAACGTAGAACCAACCTAACACGCAAGTGCATCGATTCAAGTTGTCAGATTTCCCAGCAGCATGCAAAGAACAAGTAGACAGAAAAAGTGAGATCGAAGAAGACAGCTCAGACTGACAGACAGAGACTTCACGAACTGGTGCCATGTTTTAGTTTGGTCACACTGGGCCTTCTTCCAACTCCTGCTATCATCGCATACCCAGGTAGGCGGTAGCTCCTCGTGTAAAACACATCTCTAAGCCACCTCAGTCGTCGGTTATCAACTTCATCGACTGCCTTCCCTTCACTGCTTAGTAGCATTCACCTAACCTCGACATTACTCACACGGTGATTCTACCTTACACGAGCAATGACACACCTGTGGTCAAAAACCAGTAGCGTCTTCATATCATGCCATTAGCCACCAGCGATAACGCAAATTGGAAAATGTTAAACGGCCTTCTGTATCCGACCTGCGACTTCGTCGGTAGACACATCAGGCTGGTACAATTCCCCAAATAAGTGAAGCGGTTGACTCATTCTACGACTTCTATCCTTTTATTTAACTGGGAGTAGCTACAGATCAGTCCTGGAGCATCATCTTACATTTGACAGGTGTGAAACATATGCCAAACGCACTCAGATCGGTGCTCAAGGTGTTCAGAATACCCTGGATTTTCCCAGCGTCTTCACCCAATAGGTCAATATCATCTGCGTACTTCAAGTCAGCTAGATGGTGTTCAGGGGATAGATCAGTATCTGCGAAGTCA